TGTATAGGTACATGTGTGGTGACATGTACCTATAGCCTTAGCTATGTGGAGGTCATAGGTAGGAGCGTGGCCCAGACAAAAGCATGAGACCCTACTTGGGGAAAAAAAAAAAAAGGAGTGGGGAGGGAGAAGGCCCAAGCTAGTGAGACCATTTGGAGAACTGAGGAATTCAGATGCTAGTGAACAGAGATCTCAGACATTTGACTTCAGACGAAATGTGTAATGTCTCCAGCCATGTGAGCTCTCTAAGGTGACAGTAGGGATGAGCTATCGGGGTAACAAACACCAGGAACAATAGAGATTTGTTACTATTTATAAAAATGACCTTTATATACATGAAATATTGAAGGCTGTACATCTAAGAGTAAAATAGGGGATTTCACATGGTTTTGCTTATGGAAACATATATCACCTTAACAATAATTAAGATAGACAGCTGGGTGTGGTGGTGTATATCTGTAGTCCCAGTACTCGGGAGGCTAAGGCAGGAGGATCACAAGTTCAAAGCCAGCCTGGGCTACAAATTAAGATAGCCAGATCCCATTATCTAAATCTCTCATGGTTATGTTGTTATGGCTGTTGACGTATCATCCTGACATTCTAAATTAGCAGATTTTTGTATAGCATGCCAAATATAAAAACAGGTGAAGACCTTCTGTACAATTCCACCTTAGTAATAATTTAATAAGCTTACCTTGTAAATCAAGTACCAGTAATTCCCCTCTGGTGTATTCATAAGTCCAGTGGCTAAAGAGGCTAGCATGATCTCCTCCAGCGTATTAGTTGGAATAATCTCATCACCATTATTATTGTTGTACTTCCTAAATTCTCCAGTCATACATTCTTCCACAGCAAACCACTGTCCTGCTGAATGGCAATACAGCAGGAAAACTTCAAGGAACCTTATGAAAAATAGTTATAGATATTACTAGAGTTTTGTTAGTAAGATTCTAATTAATATGCAGTATGGGTAATAACTAAATATTCAACATCAAGAATGAAGGTCAAAAAAGACTGTTATCCACATAAAAGATTTCAAACAAATGTAAAGATTTACCTTGGGGAATATGGTATGGATTTGGGTTTCATTTGATTGAAGGCAAATGTGAGCTTTTGTGCTGCTCTCTGTTGTTGAATTTCCTACAAAAGTGGGGGGAAGCCTTTAATCAGTATTTTAACTAAAAATTTTATTTGGTTAATTTATGCTTTAGAAATAAAAACATGAGGCTCAAATTATGGCCCACAGTTATGCATTCACTGGCACTTACTCTGAGACAGAGATGCAGAACTGTATCTTCCTTATAAATACTTGACCATGTGTTAACCACCTCAGGAAGAAAAGACTTGATAATGTAAAGATGCCCTGATTTGAGGATATCATGCTCTGACCAGGTACACTGTACTTTGACAGCTCTTCGTAAACCTCCTCCCATCTCCTCTTTACTTAAAAACTCTATTTTGGCACAGAGGCCTAGCTGTGACCAAGAAGACATGCTGTTATTTAGTATGCTGGGTGAACTCTCTTCCAGACGGTACACTGTGACAGGCTCACCTGCAATATGAATGGACACAGATTAAGGTTGAATTACAACTCTAAAAATATCAAAGTAGAATAAAAATTTACAGCTATCTTTGGTTAAGATTAAGAAATTGAAGAGAAATAAAAATAAGTGGTCATTTTATAAAGAGAAGTTCAGAGTGACAAATGATAGGAAATAAAAATACTTCCCTAATATCTTTGAACTCATGTTTAAAGATAAGAACTTTTGAAATTATGAATGTTTTAAATATGTTTTAAAAAGCAATACAATGCTATCAAGAGCCCTCTGTTTCACAGACCCAGTGATATTATTTACTTCTACTTTCACTACTTGACAGGAAACTAAAAACTTTTCTGAATTAGGATAAATAGACCACCATTTCTGGATATTCAATAACAGAGAAATTTAAAACTTGTAATGATTTAAGTATAACAAACCTTTGAAATAGACTGATTAAGAATTGCATGAACCTGACATTTCTTAATGTAATTCCATTTCTTTCTATCCTCACCCATGTTCTATGTTACAATTAAAAACCTGTGGAAGGGGCTGAGTGGCTCAAGTGGTAAGAGCACATGACTAGTAAAAACCTGTGAAGAGTTTACTTTCCCTTTTACTTATTTCTGAAGTTTTTGGATTTACCTCTTGGAGGCACAGGTGTGAATGGAATGCTCTGTGATAACCTCATCAAGTTATTTCTTTCCACAGCTGCATAAAAACAACAGCGACATAATGAAACATCGAAAGGTTCAAAACATCACAAATTTTGTTTTTAATATTACTGACCTGAATAATAGTAATTTGTATCCATAACTGGCTTAAATGGAGAAGCAAGACCTAAAACAGCAAATAAATGAGCATAAATTCCTGCTCATTCACAAATTACCACCTTAAAGTTCTTTTATGTAACCTCTCCTTACAAATTAGAAAAATCTAATAAAATATGTCTACCATGTGCTACATTACACTATTTCATTAGGCCAGATCAGTGGTTACTGTACACTAAACACTTGGAAGGGAAGACACATACAATGTCTCTCCCAATGGCTGTCATAAACTGTACTTTTCTCATGCCTACCATTCAAAAACAAAAATCACTTTATGACCTTTTAGGTGAAGAGACTGTGGCCATGTAACCATTTTAGCAGATCTATCATGAGAAGATGGACTTGTGGATGTAATAATATGCCAAAGAGTCCCTTCTCCATTTCTAGCTTTTTTTTTTTTTTGGGAATTTAACTTTAAACACAGTAAGAAGACATAGGAGAACAAATCAAATCTGTTTTGTGCTGTGTCTAGACTATAAATAAAAAGGAATTTACTGTGTTGTAGAAGTTAGTCAACAGTTTAATACTGTGGTAAGTATAAAACACATACGTGTTTATCCACACACCTACATACAAGCGCATACACATCATAAGGACCACACAAGAGGTATACTCAGTGCCTCTGGGCTGACAAGGGGTTGAAGGCTGTCTCAAAGGAAGAAGTAAGGGAATGAGAGAGCAATTTGCAATGCAGTTTGTTAGGCTGTATTTAGAAAGGTAGCAAAGCATTAACTGGTGCCTGCCACATTTGGGAAACTGCAAGCAGTTTGGTATGAACAGGACTACTTACATACAGATAGAATGATGTGGAAGGCTTTATGAGCACACAGCTTCTGAGATCTCAGTCCAAATACTATTCTATACTACTCTACAGGTATGTCTCACCACATAAGTGATTTGAATATGCAGCGAAGATTGTAAATTAATGAGCAAAAAGAGCATAAACATATGCTGTGAAAGTAGGGAATAGGAAATTGTCAACAGCCTAGAGTGCCATGCTAAGAAAAGGACCTGAGAGTTTATTCAATAATGAAGGGAAAAATGTAAAGCAGAGCAGTGACAAGATCAAGTCTTTTACAAGAATCATTTTGATGGTAGAGGACAGAAAGGAAATAAAATTACCAGTTTGGGCAGGAAGCCCAAACTGGTATTAACACTTTGAAAACCTATTTGGCAAGTAGTAACTTACTAGATTATTGAACAGATGCCATACTCTTATGAACCAGGCCATTCTACCCAGGCATTATAATCAACAAGAAAGCAAAATCTGTTTACCAAACAAATGTTTCATAGCAACAAGGAAATTCAAACAGGCCACACCACAGGAAAAGCTACTTGGAAATGACTATCAAATAGTGGAATGGAGCTAGTAATCCTAGCTACTTGGGAGGTGTAGATTAGGAGGATCGAAGTTTGCCAGCCATGGCATAAAGTCTGCAAGACCCAACTCATCCAATGGGTTGGTATGGTGGCAGACAACTGTCATTCCAGTTATGTACAAATAGGAAGGTTCATTGTCCAGGCCAGCTGGCACAAACTAAGATCCTATCTCAAAAATAGGGCTGGTGGAGTAGCTCAAGTGGTAGAGTGTCTGCCTAGCAAGTATGAAGCCCTGAGTACCACTGCTAGGCAGTACTATACACATACACCCAAAAGTACAGTGGACAATTCCATATACTTAAAAAAGGAATTAACACGAAATACTAACAATGCACAAACTACCACTATACACACAGTATTGATGAATCTCATAAAAACATGTTAAGAGAAGAAGACAGACACAAATAGTATATACTGTATGATTCCATTTATATGGCATATACACAAGTACACCCAGCAAGACCAATTAATTTTGTTTAGGGGCGGGGTGGTAAGAAGCAGCTGGAATGTTGGCAATATTCTGGTTGGGGGCACTGGTAAATGGGGGACTGGCAGAACAGGGACCATCATCACAGACTGGTCCATGTGTTTGCAAAATATCTATTTTAAGGAGAAACTGTATGAAGGAAGAATTTTCCAACTACCTTGGCTTAGTCTGAAATGTCTTGCCTAGGATATGCAGTATTTGCCTTAACATCATATGTGATTCAATTTTCACATTACAACCTACCACCTGGACTCACCATTTAATGTTCCTTCTTCAGATGGGCTAAAGAAATACCAAAAAAAAAAAAAAAAGTGCCACATTTTAGTTTTGGCTAGCAGTTTTTATTTTTTAAGATTATCATGACTATTTAATGAAATATTATTAAAGGACTTCTGATGCTCAGACTCATATTTCTTTGAATATTTACCACTTTCCTCTAGCCAACCCCTAATTCATACATAGATATGTACATACCCATGTACATCTATTTTATCACCAACTTGTATCTCCAGCTTATGAATACATAAATATTATTTATTGGATTGGTGCCAAAGTGAAAACTAATAGATATTAATAGAGTAAAGTATTTCATGACTTCTGCATTTGTGGAGATTCATTCCGGTACTAGAACAATGTCCTGAAATCACTTTCCAGGATTCTAATACTTCAGTAGAACTAGTGGGAAAGAGCAGAGAGAACAGTAAATAGGTATCAACTGCACAAAACTCAACTTCTAATGTTGAAAAAAATCCAACATTCAATGTATTTATTTATAACACGTATTAGCAGCAAGAAGTGGTTCTTATTTTTATTTTTTTGGAGACAACCCAGGTTGGCCTCAAACTCAAGCTCTTTCTCTTGCCTCGAACTCCTGGGTGCTAGGATTACAGGTGTACACCACCGTGTCCAGGAGCAAAAGTTCTTTTTAATTCTCAGCATTCCAGTGTAGAGACTCAGGTGTAGTGGGAAAGGAAACAGAATGAGAATCAAGGAAAATGGGTCACAGGCTTAGCTCTCCCCAGTGCTGCTGCTTCTTTTTTTTTTTTGTGGCAGCACTCAAGTTTGAACTCAGGGTCTTATGCTTGCTAGATTCAAACTTCTTCACTCAACCACTCAATCACCTGAGCCACTCTCCCAGCTTTCCCTCCTCATTTTAGGATGTGGGGAGTAGGGAGGTTACTGCAGTCTCTTCCCAGCTCTCACATTCCATCTGACCCTGAAGGCTGACTTTCACCTTAATAATATAAATAGTTTCTTATGAGAAATATCTTGATTCCAGCATCACCCTTTGCCTGATGCTGTAAAGCTACTCTTTTCTCATTACTCCAAGAGTGCTGACTGCCAAGCACTATAATCCTAGCTACTAGGGAGGGAGGCAGAGATCAGGAGGATTGCAGTTTGAAGTCAGCACAGGCTAAAAATGTTTGAGAGACCCTAACTCGAAAATACCCAACACAAAAAGAGGCTGGTGGAATGGCTCAAGTGGTAGTGCCTGCCTGGCAAGCGTGAGGCTCTAAGTTCAAACTCCAGTACTGCCAAAAAAATTAAAACGAAACAAAAAAAGTGCTGGCCAACTACACGTTGTTGGTTTTCTTGTTAGAACCCACAATTAAGATTAACCTCAAAGGGCTGGGGATGTACAGCACAGGCCTAGCATGGACATGGCCCTGGGTTCAATTCCTAGCACTGAAAATCAAGCAAACAAACAAAAACCTAGAAAGGATCAACTTCAAGTACTTATTCTGCATTTATATCCTATGGGTTTGCTTATAAGAGACAACAGTTGCTGAAGAAGTTTGAATTTGGGTAGGTCTTGACAATGCAAGCCTAGCATAAACAATTTGAACACCTGCTTGTCCATGTAGCACATGCTTTATTTTCTTCTCTATTTATTCACACACATTTCAGATTCACAGAAGGGGATAACACTGAAATATAGTATCAGAGAGTAATTCTACCATGTTTGTAGTATCAAATGAATGTCAAAGACTTTTAAAAATGTCCTCTGGCATCCTAAAAGACTAATCCTTATGCTGGAAACACAGAAGTTATCTTTGATTCTTCTTTATGTCTAATCTGTAGTGAAATTTCTTCTTTTCAGGGAGAAAGTTGCCTTTTGTTTACAAAAGGATTACCACATCAGCTTTCTAGCAGATTTTCCTGTGTACAGACTTTCTAATGCACACTGGATACTACTGCTCTAATCATCAGTGTTTTCTGAAAGCAGTTACAAGCTTAGAATGATGGAAAGATTAATAAGCACAAAACTGAAATCTCAAACTAGATCTTTTCACAAATTAACCAAGATCAAGCTGGAAACAGATCTCAAGAATAATATCATAATTCTATCACTCTTAGGAAGACTTTAGTAGAGCTATAATTACTGTGTAAGTCCTCCCAATTTCATCCATGCAAATGCTAGATTAAACAATCATCACTCATTACCCAGATAAAGGAGTGTTAAAGAAACAATGCAAAGAGGAGAAAAAAAAGACAAAACTCATTAACTGTGATACTTTGCAGGATAATGAGAAAAGACTTACTTACATTTCTCTATTTGATGGTCTATCTTGTAACCAGTCCTTGGGTCAAAAACAAACACAAACAAAAAACTTAAAGGCAAAAGCAACTATCACAAGGTGAAACAATTTCAGGAGTGTTCATTTCTTATAACATAGTTTTTCTAGTTCTTCAAATTCTTTAATTTTTTTCTCTGATGACAATCTTATTCTCACAAAATATACATTTCAGTGATTCTAAAAACCTTCTGTGACTGCCGTCAAAAGAATATCAAAGTACAAACAGAAAATCCAAATCATCAAAACTGTGACTACTCAAAGACAATCACTAAAGACATGCAAGCATATGGGGCAGATTTATAGTGATGTATCTAGGTATGAATTTTTTTACTTGCCCAGTTTGGAACTCATATTTCTAGAATTTGAATTTTTATACATTTTATCAATTTGGAAAATTCTAATCCATTTACATCTCTTTAAATTCTGTCTACAATCTCATGGCCAATTAAATGTATTTCCCATGTCCTTTTATCTTTATAGATCGTCTAAAACCACTCACATCTGTGTTTCATTCTAGTTCACCTTAATAATTCTCTTCAGATTTGATTCACCTGTTACCGAAACCTCTTTCTAGATTGCTTTCTAATCTGCCAGTCTTTTCAAACAGTATCTTTCCCTTATGTGATGTTTTATAATAGTTTCCTTTACTTTAGTCGCTTCCAACAAGCTTATAATCTATAACCAATACTACCACCACATAAAGTTATTAGAAATCTAACACTGTCTATGTAAGTTGACTTCCATCTTCTTCAATGGACTTTGTTGTAAAGCTGCACAGCTTAGATTCATGATACATCCTTCCACAAAGGAGGGTACCTTACTGTGAAAATGTTAGAGAACGTCTTTCCCCACAAACATGACTTTTTTAAATTTAATTTAATTTAATTTTTTATGCGCATACAATGTTTGGGTCATTTCTCCCCTCCTCCCCCCATTCCCCTTCCTTACCACTCATCCCGCCCCATTCCTCTCCCCCCTACAACCTTGATACCTGGCAGAAACTATTTTGCCCTTATCTCTAATTTTGTTGAAGAAGAGAGTGTAAGCAATAATAGGAGGGAACAAGGGATTTTGCTAGTTGAGAAAAGGATAGTTACACAGGAAGTTCATGCACACTGATTTCCTGTGCATGTGTGTTACCTTCTAGGCTAATTCTTCTTGATCTAACCTTTTCTTTAGTTCCTAGTCCCCTTCTCCCATTGGCCTCAGTTGCTTTTAAGGTATCGGCTTTAGTTTTTCTGCATTGAGGGCAACAAATGCTATCTAGTTTTTTGGGTGTCTTACCTATCCTCACCCCTCCCTTGTGTGCTCTTGCTTTATCATGTGCTCAAATTCCAATCCCCTTGCTGTGTCTGCCCTTGATCTAATGTCCGCATATGAGGAAGAACATATGATTTTTGGTCTTTTGGGCCAGGCTAACCTCACTCAGAATGATGTTCTCCAATTCCATCCATTTACCAGAATGATAACATTTTCATTCTTCTTCATGGCGCATAAAATTCCATTTGTGTAAGATACCACATTTTCTTAATCATTCGTCAGTGCTGGGCATCTTGGCTGTTTCCATAACTTGATTATTGTGAATAGTGCTGCAATAAACATGGGTGTGCAGGTTGCCTCTGGAGTAACCTGTGTCACAGTTCTTTTGGTATATCCCCAAAGAGTGGTATTGCTGGATCAAATATGGTAGATCAATGTTTAGTTTTTAAGATAGCCTCCAAATTTTTTTCCAGAGTGGTGTACTAGTTTACATTCCCACCACAGTGTAAGAGGGTTCCTTTTTCTCCGCATCCTCGCCAACACCTGTTGTTCGTGGTGTGCTAATGAGGCTATTCTAACAGGGGTGAGGTGGAATCTTAGTGTGGTTTTAATTTGCATTTCCTTTATTGCTAGAGATGGTGAGCATTTTTTCATGTTTTTGCCATTGAATTTTCTTTTGAGAAAGTTCTGTTTAGTTCACTTGCCCATTTCTTTATTGTTCATTAGTTTTGGAGAATTAGTTTTTTAAGTCCCTATATATTCTGGTTATCAGTCCTTTGTCTGATGTAGCTGGCAAATATTTTCTCCACTCTGTGGTGTTCTCTTTCAGTTTAGAGACCATTCTTTTGATGAACAGAAGCTTTTAGTTTTATGAGGTCGCATTTATCTACGCTACTTCTTAGTTGCTGTGCTGCTGGGGTTCCATTGAGAAAGTTCTTAAAACTATAAACTTCTGAAGACAGAGATTGAGGAAGACTATAAAAAGTGGAGAGATCTCCCATGCTCATGCATTGGTAGAATCAACATAGTAAAAATATCTATACTCCCAAAAGTAATCTACATGTTCAATGCAATTCCCATCAAAATTCCAATGACATTCATTAAAGAGATTGAAAAATCCACTGTTAAATTTATATGGAAACACAAGAGGCCACGAATAGCCAAGGCAATACTCAGTCAAAAGAACAATACTGGAGGTATCACGATACCTGACTTCAAACTATATTACAAAGCAGTAACAATAAAAACAGCATGGTACTGGAACAAAAACAGACATGAAGACCAGTGGAACAGAACAGAGGACCCAGATAAGAAGCCACACAACTATAACAACTTGTTTTTGACAAAGGACCTAAAAATATATGATGGAGAAATAGCAGCCTCTTCAACAAAAACTGCTGGGAAAAGTGCTTAGCAGTCTGCAAAAAAATGAAACTAGATCCATGTATATCACCCTATACCAATATTAACTCAAAATGGATCAAGGATCTTAATATCAGACCACAACTCTAAAGTTGATACAGGAAAGAGTAGGAAATACTCTGAGTTAGTAGGTATAGGTAAGAACTTTCTCAACGAAACCCCAGCAGCACAGCAACTAAGAGATAGCATAGATAAATGGGACCTCATAAAACTAAAAAGCTTCTGTTCATCAAAAGAAATGGTCTCTAAACTGAAGAGAACACCCACAGAGTGGGAGAAAATATTTGCCAGCTACACATCAGACAAAGGACTGATAACCAGAATATATAGGGAACTTAAAAAACTAAATTCTCCCAAAACTAATGAACCAATAAAGAAATGGGCAAGTGAACTAAACAGAACTTTCTCAAAAGAAGAAATTCAAATGGCCAAAAAACACATGAAAAAATGCTCACCATCTCTAGCAATAAAGGAAATGCAAATTAAAACCACACTAAGATTCCACCTCACCCCTGTTAGAATAGCCATCATAGCAACACCACAACAACAGGTGTTGGCGAGGATGCGGGGAAAAAGGAACCCTCTTACACTGTTGGTGGGAATGTAAACTAGTACAACCACTCTGGAAAAAAATTTGGAGGCTACTTAAAAAGCTAAACATTGATCTACCATTTGATCCAGCAATACCACTCTTGGGGATATACCCAAAAGACTGTGACACAGGTTACTCCAGAGGCACCTGCACCCATGTTTATTGCGGCACTATTCACAATAGCCAAGTTATGGAAACAGCCAAGATGCCCCACACTGACGAATGGATTAAGAAAATGTGGTATCTATACACAATGGAATTTTATGCAGCCATGAAGAAGAACGAAATGTTATCATTCGCTGGTAAATGGATGGAATTGGAGAACATCATTCTGAGTGAGGTTAGCCTGGCCCAAAAGACCAAAAATCGTATGTTCTCCCTCATATGTGGACATTAGATCAAGGGCAAACACAACAAGGGGATTGGACTTTGAGCACATGATAAAAACGAGAGCACACAAGGGAGGGGTGAGGATAGTAAGACACCTAAAAAACTAGCTAGCATTTGTTGCCCTTAACGCAGAGAAACTAAAGCAGATACCTTAAAGCAACTGAGGCCAATAGGAAAAGGGGACCAGGAACTAGAGAAAAGGTTAGATCAAAAAGAATTAAACTAGAAGGTTAAACCCACGCACAGGAAATCAATGTGAGTCAATGCCCTGTATAGCTATCCTTATCTCAACCAGCAAAAACCCTTGTTCCTTCCTGTTATTGCTTATACTCTCTCTACAACAAAATTAGAGATAAGGGCAAAATAGTTTCTGCTGGGTATTGAGGTGGGGGGAGGAGGGGGTGGAGTAGGTGGTGAGGGAGGGGGTGGGGGCAGGGGGGAGAAATGAACCAAGCCTTGTATGCACATATGAATAATAAAAGAAAAATGAAAAAATAAATAAATAAAAAGAAAATGTGGTATCTATATACAGTGGAATTTTATGCAGCCATGAAGAAGAATGAAATGTTATCATTCGCTGGTAAATGGATGGACTTGGAGAACATCATTCTGAGTGAGGTTAGCCTGGCCCAAAAGACCAAAAATCGTATGTTCTCCCTCATATGCGGACATTAGATCAAGGGCAAGCACAACAAGGGGATTGGACTTTGAGCACATGATGAAAGCTTTAGGCACACAAGGGAGGGTGAGATAGTAAGACACCTAAAAAATTAGTTAGCATTTGTGGCCCTTAACACAGAGAAACTAAAGCAGATACCTTAAAAGCAACTGAGGCCAATAGGAAAAGGGGACCAGGAACTACAGGAAAGGTGAGATCAAAAAGAATTAACCTAGAAAGTAACACACACGCACAGGAAATTAATGTGAATCAACTCCCTGTTTGGCTATACTTATCTCAACCAGCAAAAACACTTGTTCCTTTCATTTATTGCTTATACTCTCTCTTCAACAAAATTAGTGATAAGGGCAAAATAGTTTCTGCTGGGTATTGAGGGGGTGGGGGGCAGAGGAAGGGGGTGGTATGGGTGGTAAGGAAGGGGGTGGGGGCAGGGGGGAGAAATGACCCAAGCCTTGTATGTACATATGAATAATAAGATAAAAAAAAAAAGAGAAAGTTCTTACCTGTATCTACTAATTCCAGAATATTTCCTACTCTTTCCTGTATCAACTTTGAGTTTGGGGTCTGATATTAAGATCCTTGATCCATTTTGAGTTAGTATTGATATAGGGTGATATACATGGATCTAGTTTCAGTTTTTTGCACACTGCTAACCAGTTTTCCCAGCAGTTTTTGTTGAAGAGGCTGTCTTTTCTCCATTGTTTATTTTTAGCGCCTTTGTCAAAGACAAGTTGGTTATAGTTGTGTGGCTTCATATCCGGGTCCTCTATTCTGTTCCACTGGTCTTCATGTCTGTTTTTGTGCCAGTACCATGCTGTTTTTATTGTTATTGCTTTGTAATATAGTTTGAAGTCAGGTATCGTGATACCTCCTGCATTGTTCTTTTGACTGAGTATTGCCTTGGCTATTCGTGGCCTCTTGGGTTTCCATATAAATTTAACGGTAGATTTTTTAATCTCTTTAATGAATGTCATTGGAATTTTGATGGGAATTGCACTGAACATGTAGATTACTTTTGCGAGTATAGATATTTTTACTATGTTGATTCTACCAATCCATGAGCATGGGAGATCTCTCCACTTTCTATAGTCTTCCTCAATCTCTTTCTTCAGAAGTTTATAGTTTTCCTTGTAGAGGTCTTTCACATCCTTTGTTAGGTTTACACCTAGGTATTTGATTTTTTTTGAGGCTATTGTAAATGGAATTGTTTTCATATATTCTTTTCAGTTTGTTCATTATTAGTGTATAGAAATGCTAATGATTTTCTATGTTGATTTTATATCCTGCTACCTTGCTATAGATTGATGTGTCTAGAGCTTTGAGTAGAGTTTTTTGGGTCTTTAAGGTATAGGATCATGTCATCTGCAAATAGGGATATTTTGACAGTTTCTTTACCTATTTGTATTCCTTTATTCCTTCTCTTGCCTAATTGCTCTGGCTAGGAATTCCAGTACTATGTTGAATAGGATGGAGATAGTGGGCATCCTTGTCTGTTCCTGATTTTAGAGGGAATGGTTTCAGTTTTTCTCCATTAAGTATAATGCTGGCTGTAGGTTTGTCATAATAGCTTTTATAATGTTGAGGTACTTTCCTTCTATTCCTAGTTTTCTTAGAGCTTTTATCATGAAATGTGTTGGATCTTATCAAAGGCTTTTTCTGCATCTATTGAGATGATCAAGTGGTTTTTGTCTTTGCTTTGTTAATGTGTTTATTATTTATTGATTTTCATATGTTGAACCACCCCTCCATTCCTGGAATGAAGCCGACTTGGTCGTGGTGAGTGATCTTTTTGATGTGTTGTTGAATTCAGTTTGCCATTATTTTTATGAGGATTTTTGCGTCAATGTTCATTAAGGAGATTGGCCTATAGTTCTCCTTTTTGGAGGTGTCTTTGCCTGGTTTTGGGATAAGTGTAATACTGGCTTCATAAAATGTGTTGGCAGTTTTCCTTCCTTTCTATTTCATGGAACAGTTTAAGGAGGGTTGGTATCAGTTCTTCTTTAAAGGTCTGATAGAATTCAGCAGAGAATGCATCAGGTCCTGGACTTTCCTTTTTGGGGAGACTCTTGATTGCTGCTTCAATTTCAGTTTGTGTTATAGATCTATTCAGGTGATTAATATCCTCTTGGTTCAGTTTTGGATGATCATATGTATCTAGAAATCTGTCCATTTCTTTAAGATTTTCAAATTTATTGAATAGGTTCTCGAAAGTAGTCTCTGATGATTTCCTGGACTTCCATATTGTTTTGTTATCTCCCCTTTTGCATTCCTGATTCTACTAATTTTGGGTTTTTCTTCCTTTTTAGTCAGGTTTGCCAGGGTCTGTAATTTTTCAAAGAACCAACTTTTTTTCATTAATTCTTTGTATGGTTTTTTTGGTTCCTATTTCTTGATTTCAGCTCTTATTTTTATTATTTCTCTCCTTGTATTTGTTTTGGGATTTGCTTGTTCTTGTTTTCTAGGAGTTTGAGATGTATCATTAGGTCATTGATTTGGGATCTCTCAGTCTTTTTAATATATGTACTCATGGCTATAAACTTTCTTCTCAGGACTGCCTTTGCTGTGTCCCATAGGTTCTGGTAGGTGTGTTTTCATTTTCATTGACTTCCAGGAACTTTTTAATTTCTTTTATTTCATCAATGACCCATTGTTCATTAAGTAATGAGTTATTCAGTTTCCAGCTGAAGTTTTTTGTCTTTACTTTTGTTGTTCAGTTCTAGTTTTATTGCATTGTGATCAGATAGTATGCATGGTATAATTTCTATTTTCTTATATTTGCTGAGGCTTGCTTTGTGCCCTAGGATATGATCTATTTTGGAGAAGGTTCCATGGGCTGCTGAGAAGAATGTATATTGTGTAGCAGTTGGATGAAATGTTCTGTATATATCAACTAGGTCCATTTGATCTATTGTATATTTTAGATCTTGGATTTCTTTATTGATTTTTTGTTTGGATGACCTATCTATTGATGATAATGGGGTGTTAAAGTCTCCCACAACCACTGTGTTGGAGTTAATATATGCTTTAGGTCTTTCAGGGTATGTTTGATGAAACTGGGTGTGCTAACATTGGGTGCATATTGGTTGATTACTGTTATTTCTTTTTGGTCTATTTCCCCTTTTAATAGTATGGAATGTCCTTCTTTATCTCATTTGATCAATGTAGGTTTGAAGTCTACTTTGTCAGAGATAAGTATTGTTACTCCTGCCTGTTTTCGGGGGCCATTGGCTTGGTAAATCTTCTTCTCGTCTTTCATCCTAAGCCTATTCTTATTTCTGTCTCTTTTTTTTTTTTGAGACAGGGTCTCACTCTGTAGTACAGGCTGACCTTGAACTCGAGATCCTTCTGCCTCAACCTCCTGACTGCTGGAATTGCAGGTGTGCACCACCAATGCCTGGTTAAACATTTGATGTTTTTAAACAACAAACTCTGTCAAGTTACTATTTCATTGATGATGATTATAAGCACTGATTTCTACATATCTGACTGTAAACAGGTAATTCTCTGCTTTCTCCTGAGCTGTCTGTCTTGGTTGCCAGAGTCTGCTATTAAAGGAAGTTTGCAAAATCAAGTACTACCACAGTCAGCTAGGAATGAGTTTGTGTAATCAGTTTTCACTTAAACAAAACAGATCTGCCATTAAAAATTTTTAAATAAATTTTTCTTTAAAACTTTCTATCACTGCCACCATGTACTGTTTTCAATTTTCTAAGGTAAATGGTTTTTGAAAGATTGATATAGTCTATCAAATATCATCACCTTTTAGTTCTTCTTTAATAAATATGTATTTAGCAAAATGTACTTGTTTACATGAAATGTACAAACCGGTAGTAAAGCTGCTTTGGAATCTACTTCAGGAGTGTCTTCTGTAGATTGAGTTCTACTTTCTTCTAAAAGGAAATTTAAAAAGATAAAAGTCAGGCAACTAAATTTTTATTATTTTTCCACTGAATAACAAAACATAAAGTACTGCTAAGCATAATATAACCTTTATAAAATTTGTTTATAATTTATATTGTCCCTAACACTACTGAACAAAGTTTCAATCTATTTTTAACAAAATACTCAATTAATTTATTGTGAAAAGGCATTAAGAAACAAGAGTATAAAGTAAAAAGTCTTTCTCTGCCTCCTGTTCACAAATCACCTTTACTAGATGTAGTCAAGGGAATTCGTTTCTTGTGTATTCTTACAGAGTGGTTGTGGTTTTCATTTTTTTACACAGAGATATAAAATATACTGTATATCTGGAGTTTTTTTTGTGGTTGAATTTTTCTGTCTCATTGAGAGAAAGGGTCTTGCTGTGATGACCAGGCTGGCCCTGAACTCAACTGATCTTGCTACCTCTGCCTCCTAAGCAGCTGGGAATATAGGCATGTGCTACTCTGCCTGACTTGCTGCTTTTTAAACTTTACTCTTAGAGATTTTCTATAGAAGTATGACATCATTTTTGATGCTACTTTTACTTCACATTATGGATATATAATAATATATGTAGACAAATTCCTACTCGTAGATAATAGTCTATTTCCAATCTCTTGTTATAACAAGTGTTACAACCTTCCTCCCACCTGATTTAAGATGACATCTTTCAGTTGAGTACAGTGTTGTACTCCTGTAATCCCAGCTATGAAGAAACCCTAGGTAGGAGGATTATGGTCCAAGGCTGGCCCAGGCAAAAAGCACAAGACCCTATCTGAAAAAATAACAAAAGCAAAAAAGAACCGGTGGCATGGTTCAAGTGATAGAAACTCTGCCTAGCAAGCACAAGGCCCCAAATTCAAACATAATACAGGGATGGGGGGATGTAGGAAGACATCTCTGATGTCCTATCTTGTTTGCTTGTCCTAATTAATTCTAAAATGATGTCTCCACACTTTAAAAAAGGTTAAGATGGTGAGGGAAAAAGCTCAGAATGACTGAAAGGAAATCTAAGAATATACCTGTGCCAGGTATAGAAGACAGAAAGACTTGCTTGAAATACATTAGAAGACTCTGAGCACAACTTGGTCAACATGATGAAAATGACAGAATATATCTTATTCTGAAATCTTAATCTGGAAAGCCCATCTTGCGCTCTGAGTATTTCCACTATGCGATATGACTATTTATGATGACTGTTTATAGACAGTCTTTAGTGAGATTAAGCAACTCCATTCTACCATTACATGAATAGGTGTTCAATTTTATCAAATGCCTTTTCTGCAGCTATTAAAGTGATCTTATGATTTTCAAGCTTTAATCTGCTACAATCATGCATCATAATAATTATGTTTTTAAATGGTAAGCCAACTTGCATTCTTTAGTCAGGATATATGCTGTTGAATTCAGTATGCCAAAAAAAAAGTAAGTGATAGCAATGGAGACAGGGTAGAACTGTTTTCCTTAAAAATTAATAATTATTCAAGTTCTCGATAATGGGCCTATATAATTTTGACTGAAAAAAAAAAAAAAGGCAGGGTGCCAGTGGCTCACGCCTATAATCCTAGCTGCTCAGGAGGCAGAGATCGGGAGGATCGTGGTTCGAAGCCAGCTTGGGTTAACAGTTTGAAAAACACTTCACAAAAAAGGGCTGATTGAGTGGGCTCAAGGTGTGACCACGAGTTCAAACCCCAGTACCGTGAAAAAAGAAAAAGGGCCAGGTGGGGGTCCTGGTCATCTGTGGTCCCAGCTACTGGGGAAGGGAAGCAAATCAACTGCTTGAGCCCAGGAGCTTGAGAACAGCTTGGGCAGCACAGCAAAACTTGGTGCCAACAACAAGCTGAGTGCCAGTGGCTCATGCCTATAATCCCAGCAATTTGAGGGTGAGATTAGGGAGATCAGGAGGTTCGAGGTTCAAGGTTCAAGGCCAGCCTCGGCAGTCTGTGAGATCCCAATCCAAAATAACCACAGAGCAAATTGGACTAGAGGTGTGCCCCAAATGGTAGAGCACTTGCTTTGCAAGAGTGGTGCCAAGTTCAAACCCCAGTCCCACAAAAACAAAAACAGGAAAAAAAAAAAGTGGTATGGAAAATCACTACAATAAAGTGGAAAATTAATGATGCAAAACAAACATGTATAATACACTACTTTTTGTGTAAAAGAGGTAGGAAGACTTGTATTTTTATTATGCATGATTGCATAAGAACGAAAACTCTACAGGTAGACAAAGTAACAGTAATTGTATGTGGGGGTGGTGTGATGGGGAGGCTTTTCAAAGTGTGTATTCTTTAACTTCAAACCAACACATGCACTAGCTATTTTTAAGAGTTAAACTAGAAAAATATGTTGAATAAATGATACAGATTAAATCTGTAGAAGTTACAATCAGCAGATTTGTAAAAAGCAAGTCTTCAACAGTTCCTCTTTATAGACTTAGGCATCTATAAAAACACTAGAATGTGGGTTGGAGGTGTGGTTCGAGCAGTAGAATGCCTGCCTTGAAAGCACAAAGCTCCGAGGCTAAAACCCCAGTACAAAAAAAAAGAAAACAAAAAAAAATTAAGATTGTTAGATTCCATGACTTAATACCACAAGGCTACAGTAACAATTCTGGGCCAAAATCGTCATTTTCTGACTCCCAGACCATTCATTACTCAAGTGTTTGACAAATACACAATATATTTAAAGCTTAAGTGACTGCTTGCTAACAGAATTCATAAAGTCAAATGCTCACCTTGTTTTGAATGAAGAGAAATGGAAGTCTTGTGACACTCAGTAAATCCAGCATGAGAACTCATGTGCTTCAAAGTGTTTTCAGGAATATCCTTCTGCATATGTAGTACATACATATGATTTATAAAAAACAATTCAATTGAATTTTAAGCCATTGTTCTAAGAGTCCCTTCATCTATTTAGCTCAATATGCTTTACTTTACCTGGACATTAGAGGTATAACACAGATTATGGTTATAATCTCAAAAATAGCACGAAAACATTCTAGTTTTTTTTTTTTCTTCCTTTCTTTCCCCCTTCTCCACCCACCCTGGTACTGGGGCTTGAACTCAGGGCCTACATCGCGAGCCACTCCACCAGCCCCTTTGTGTGTGTGTGTGATGGTTTTTTTCAAGATATGGTCTCACAAACTATTTGCCCAGGCTGGCTTCAAACCGCAATCCTCCTGATCTCTGCCTCCTGAGTAGCTAGGATTACAGGTGTGAGCCACTGGCGCTCAGCACATCCTAGTTTTTCATTGTTCATAAATCCATCTGAATGAATTCTTTTCATAGTAATACAAATTCACAAAGTTTGGGAAAACATAACAAACTGGGGAGAAAACTAAGACCACTATCAACTTATTTAAAAAAAAAAAAAAAAGAAAGCTTTTGTCTTACACTTACATTAACAAACTGGTAAAATTGGTCTAGAAGGGCCTATTTCTGTAGGGGTGTGTCTTCTTACTGATTTGTATAATAAGAATATCATCTATCTTCTCATTAGTTGTCAAACTTCATTTTTTTCTTCAAATCTGTTTTGACATGAACTTATTATTCATGTCAAAACATTATTATTATTATTTTCTGCTACTTATACATTTAGAAAACCCAACTAGCTTTACTGGCTCAATAAATATTTCTATTTTCTTAATTTTTCTATGATTAGAATTTTTACATTTAACTCTAGAATTTATACAAACTTATGAAGTGATATGAATTTACCAACAAAGCATTCTTTCTTCATCAATTTTTAATCCAATCATTCAGTTAAACTCTGATGTCAAAGGGTCATTTCAAGGTCAGCTAAGGTGTTTTATAAAATATTCTTGTTTTAACTGTAGGGTCTGTAGTTTTCATCAGATTTTCAAAAAGGTATAAAACTCACAAATGATCAAGAACTCAAAAAGTCTTTGACCACCATAAGATGGAGTTCATTATTCTAGTATAGTTTGATTTCCCCCTAAGTAAATTACTCAAAATTGTTTTTAATTCAAAGCATAACCACTACTTTTCTGTTAACTCAAAGAAACTTGTACTTTCTTCTTATTTTCACCAGGAAGTGACTTACCCACTTAAAAACTACTTTTGCCCATTCCTCGTTTGTATTTAAAAGGTAAAACTCTGTTGAGAAACCGCACTGCTTTGTCCTTTCCAGAAGTGTTCTCTTATCCTGAACTTTATGTCCTACCTGTATCGAGTGCTTCACAACAACAAAATAATACCACCAGAATGTGGTAATACAGTAATAATTTGTATACTGGAAAAAGAAAATGTATTAAGTAATTCCAGATCATAAATGGCTTTAATAAGACTTATGAAGGCCTGTAATTTACTTCATCTGTATATCAAATCCACTTCAGTTGACACCTGTTCAAGAAAAACCCTAAGTGGAATATAGGAATACCAGTATCTGACATTAGATTTATTATCAAACCAACTCTGGGTGAGTTTCTGACTCCTACGTAGATGAATGAGACTTTATCTGATATTTAGGCATTTCTGAATACTACTTAATCATGTTTCTTACATAATCCTGTTGTCCCTATTTGAGGCAAGAAAACCATGCAACTATTTTCAAACTTAAAATATAGAAAAAAGAACCCTGTATAATCAATATTTTCAATATGCATACACTCTCCAACTAAAATTCCAAGTTAACCATATATAGATAATAGACATTTAATCAATTCAGAACAATATTTCACTCAGAATATGCTATCATAAATACTAATGTTACTGTACATATCAACATGCATTTGAGTCTAACTTTTTATGTAGGGTAGTAAGTAATATGGCCTTGACAGCAACTACACAATTAACTTTGGACCATATGAGGAGCAATCTCTCATAGAAACTCTTAAGGCCATTACTATATCCTTGGCTTTATCTCTCGACAAGTGTTTTCACTGTATTTGTACTTTCATCATTTCTTTCTTTCTTTCTTTTTAAGTAAGGACTTTTATTTATCGAGAGTGCTGGGGTTTGAACTTAGGACCTGGAGCTTGCTAGGCAGGTACTCTACCACTTAAGCCACACCTGCAGCATGTAACTATCGTTTCTATAATGCAAGTTCTTTAAGGGCTAGAATAGCTAAAAGCATTCCTAGGCCCTCTTAATCATCTCAGTGTAACTACATTATACCCTTGAGGTGCTTAACAGCTCCAGATGATTTAAGAAGCAGAAATAAAAACTAATTTTTGGCCAGTTGCTCTATCCATCTTAAACTCACTTTGTAAGCACTTACAGATGTCTTGCCTTTGTACTCTACATACTGATTTCTAAAGATTTCTAGACTCCTGCTTTGTTGAGAAGAAAAAGTCATGTTGTAATGAATTTGGGGCCCAGAAGATGAGTGTTCTATTTACTCAATAGAAAACGAATAGGGAAAAGCATTTTTCAAAGAGAAAAATGTTAAACAGGTTTTCAAAAAAATTCAGTTAATAAGAAATGGGGTTGGGGATGTGGCTCATGTGGTAGACCACCTGCCTAATAAGTATAAGGCCCAGAGTTCAAACACTAGTACTTCTTTCCCCAAAAGCAAGCTATTTATACGCTGTATGTTCCTCAATTGTTTCTATTTTCTTTCATATATTTGGGGTCTTCACATTGATGATGGATCCTGCTAAAACTATACTTTTTACTGAAAAGACATTTAATTCTATTTTGAACTAAATATCACAAAAAGTGAAATTACATTTAATTGTGCTACTATAATAAGGATTTACTTACGGATAACAGTTCTTTTATTTTGTTTGATGTTTCTCTAAACCTCTGTAAATCCATACTATCTCTGTGTCCTTTAACAAAAAAAAAAAAAAAGGTTGCAATGAAAACTTTTTGGTTTTGTTTAATCTATCAAAACAATGACAACACATAAAGTCTACAAAAAGAAGTGATCGGCACTGTTTTCCAAGTAGTTTTGATGACTTTGCATTCTCCTTTGGCTTTTTAAATAATACTGAAAATACATGGCAAGAAGTTAGTGAGTATCAGTAGCAGTTCAGATAAGAGTAACAGCAAAAGTCAAAGACCTCATAAAAGAATCCAACATGTGATATGAGTAAACAGCTTGAAATTTAAAAGAAAAAACGGGGAACAATCCTTTTCGCAATTATTAATAAAATATAAAGGCGATATATACAGTAACACATTAAAAAAACATGCTAAAATGTTTTTAAAATTGATTGGGTAGACTTTATATAATCCACAGCAAATTCCATATAGCCTAGCAGTACAATGCCAGCATACTCAATACCTCAATAATCTGCCAGGCTGCCCTTAATGTGGATATTTCACATGGGATTGCAAACTTTTTTTTTTTGGTACTACTGGGGTTTGAAAACAGGACCCTACAGTTCCTACACAGGCATGCTACCGAACACTTCAACCCTCTTGCTTTTAGCTATTTTTCAGATATGGTCTTGAGCTTTTGCCCAGGACTGACTGGCCTTGGACAGTGATCCTCCTCCTCCTATGTAGCTGGGATTACATGTGCAAGCCAGCAAACATGGCTTCTTAACTGAGATGGGGGTCTAACTAACTTTTTGCCCCAGATGGACTCAAACCCCAATCTTCCCAATCTAGAGGGATTACAGACATTGGCCACAAACATATTCTTTAAGTAATCTTACACGTTCCATGACTGGGTAAATCTCTAGGTTGGGAAAGTTAAAACAAGTGTAGGAAGCCAGCTAATGGAAAAAGTTAAATCTGAAGAGGCAAATGCCTCATTCAGACCTTAGAACATTCTGGGTATGCGCCATGCAACTCCAGTTATTTCTTAAAAGTTCTCTGTTAAATATTTTGACTTTTCATAATGTACCAGGAAACCATGGTTAACATCATATTCTTCCAAACTGTAGGAAGTCATCTTGCTCTATGAAGCAATCTCTCTTCACCTATTGCCTTCCACATGACACTCTGTCAGCATTTAAATGTGCTTAAGTCTTCACTAAAAACAAAACAAAAAACCAGGAGTGGCTGTGTGGGATTAGAGGCTTGAGACTATTAACCTAACATCTGGGAGGCTGAGCAGGGAGATCAGACGTTTAAGACCTTCCTGGGCAGCACAGCAAGACTGTCTCAAAAACAAATACAACACCCTAAGCATACAAGTCACAGTACTTGTTCTTTTTTCTGCCTGCCTTCACTGTTGAGCTTGTCAAGGGTTACTCAGTCACTTCCTTCATAGGCTCTCCTCCCTTTCACACTTTATTTCACTATAATGTAGCTTGTCTCCACTTTCTTGACTGAAATAGTTTTTACCACTGTCATCAATGTATTTTCATTGCCAAAATAAGTATTTTTTTCTGTTCTTATTGAAGCTATCACAGGTATAAGAATAGATCACTCCTTCCTGAATTGCTCTCATCTCTAGACATACAAGTGAGTGGATCATAAATACAGACATGTATTTGGTTAGTGAGGATGACCAATATAGTGTGTTATTAGATGAACCACCTAAGTTTTTGTTTTTATTAAGTATTCTTAAGATCTCTACTTCACTTCACCACATAACAAGTTTCAGTCAATGATGGACTGCATATACTACTGTCCCGTAAGATTATAATAAAGCTAAAAACCTCCTGCAGCCTAGTGATGTCTTACAACTCATGTGTTCATGGAGATAATGATGTAAACAAACCTACTGTGCTGCCAGCCATACAAAAGTATGGCAAAACAATTGTATACAGAATATGATACTTGAGAATGACAACATAGAGCTATGTTACTTAGCTTATTTACCATAAAATACTTATTATAGTATATTACTTCTACTTATCACTAAAATGCTTACTGAAAACAGAATGTCATGTTATGCCAGTAGTAGCCTCAGACCTCTCATGGTTACTGTCTCCTGACTGTACTGAGAGTCCACAGTGACTGATCCATACTCTCAGTTTGTGTAAGCACATGGCCTAATATATCCCCATGGTTAAGCAATGCCTGTACTGATTTGCCTGTTGACCTAATGGAATTATTAGTATTGCACATTTTTGAAACTGCCCTGGCTTGGATATAAACTACACTCGCCCTATTTACATTTCTCTCTGCCAGTTGTTTCTAACCTCCTCTGTACCTTGCTATTTTCTAAGTACCTAAAACTTACTGATTCAACTGTGGATATATTCAAGCCCAAACCAAGCAGGGCCAGTGGCTCATGCCTGCAACCCCAGCTACTCAGTAGGCAGAGGTCTGTAGGATCACAGTTCAAAGCCAGCCCCTGAGCAAGTAGTTTGGGTAACCCTATTTGGAAAAATCCCATCACAAAAAAGGGCTGGTGGAGTGGCTCAAGTGGCAGAGCACCTGCCAGCATGTATGAGGCCCTGAGGTCAAACCCAAGTTTCTCCGCAAAAAAAAAAAAGTCACAGTGCAAGTAATTATTATAGTAAATTGCACCAAAGAGGTATATGCCATAGCCCAATTCAATTTGCTTCCCTACTTGTGATTCCTTTAAAAATATTAAAGGAACACATGCTTTTTATTAGCTAACTATTTTTTAAGGTGATAATTTTTGTTTCTAATTTGAAAAGCAAGCAGAATTTATATACAGCTAAGAGTTTGTTACACTTACCTACAAATGCTCCAAATTCTATATTATCTCCTTCTGCAGGTTTAGAGCACATACTTTCTTGATCTTTGGTTACAGTTTCCAAGAGGTTTTTGCAACTTGGCTGGGATGGGGTACTAACAGAAAATTTGGTTGGTGGGGATGATAGATGTGGTGTGCTATTAGGTGAACTGCCTAATTTTTGATTTTTATTAAAAATTTTTAAGATTTCCACCCCATGTCGTCTCTGTCGCAGTTCTGGAGGAGAAATAGCACTTGGGAATAAGGCACCACAAGAGGAACCAGCCTCTGGAAAACTGAATTCTTTTCTCTGGGGTATTACAGGCAAATCTTGACCAAATATGTTATATTGTGGATCTTTTTCATCTTTCATAAACACATTACAAAGAAAAGGATTATTACTTTCGAGATCACCTTGAGGAAGAGAGGAGCTCAATGTATTTACAACACTGTGCTTTTTCCATATAGAAGGTCTTACAGGACCATCATCAATAAGGTTTTGAGCCAAGTGTTTGGAAATACTCAATTCTCTTGTGATCTCATTGTGAACTTTGCTGGCTTCTGAAGCTTTCTGGGCAGTGAGTGTTTTTAATGTATCCACTGTCAAGGCTGAAAGATCTTGCAGATGTCCAATTTGAGAATCTAATGACTGTAACGATCTTTTTATGTAGTTGACACGATCTCCAACTTCTTTAATCTGAATGCACATCTGTTCCACTCTGCAAGGGGAAAAATAAGCTTTTTTACAAATGTTAAAAATGAGTGTACAAATTCTTCTTGTAGTCTCAATAAATAGAATGAGAAATTCTACAAGCACTCAAACAAGTAGCTTATAAAAATAAGGTGTGGCTATTTATTTAACAAGGCATACCTATAAGATGGATGCAGTGCTGATTCTAACAATGAAATACAAGATTTCAAAAGAGTTTTTGTTCCAAAGGCTATTTACATAAGGTTCCTTCAACCAAAATGTGCATACAGCTGCATATACAAAGAACTACCACTGGCATAACCACACAACTACTATGTGCTTCCAGAATGCAGTACAGCAAATGGAAAGAAACAAAAGTTTTAAAATACTGAGGGATAGTTTTACTTTTCCAGAATAGTACAGAACATTAGCTCTTTTCTATATTGTGTAACTATAGTGAAAAATTAACAAGCAGGATAGTGATGTAGTTCAGTGGTAGAGCCCTTGCCTAACATATCTAAGGTCCTAGGTTTGATATTCAGCACTACCAAAAAATAAATAAGAGGAGACTGACTGACTTATATGAACCAGCATTAGCAAAGAATGCAACTGTCTTCCCAAAATTAATTTGTTACACAAAATGAACTGAACAAAGACCATGTGTAGGAGACATACTTAAGTTGGGTGGCTCACAACTATAAACCTAGCTACTCAGACAGAGGTGAAGTTTGGGAGGATCACGGTTTCAGGCTGGCTGGTCTCAGTCAAGCAACGGCTGAGCACAGTGGCATATACTTGTCATCACAGCTTTGTGGGAAAACACAAACAGGAAGATAGATCCAGGTGGACCCAGCCCTGTGCAAAAAAGTAAGACCCTATCTCAAAAATAACCAAAGGAAAAAGGGCTGGTGAAGTGGCTCAAGTGGTAGAACACCTACCTAGCAAGCACAAGACCCCGAGTTTAAAACCACAGAACTGCCAAAATAAAAAAAGAGAGAGAGAATGGCTAACAGAAGCCATTCTGACATATAATTATAACTATAGAGCTTCTGAACCTTTCAAAAGTGACACGTATTCTCTCTTCACTCCCAGAATGGAATTTGTCATCTTTTTCATTAAAATACATTTCAACACATTGCTCTTCAAAATCATGAAGCTTCTTCTGATCTTCCTCTGTTAAGAAAAGTTCTAAGGGAGGAAAAGGAAGAAAATATCAATGAGGGCTATCAGACTTTTAGCTCAGTAGTTGTGTGGATTATTCAGGTTCATGTGAATCAGTCTACATTTCCCCCTCTTTTTACCACTATGTTTCTAAAGCACCAGGTAAGTGGCTAGGTTCTAATTTGACATAACAGCCACTAACATACTAAGCATAATTTGACATGGTTATTATTAGTCTTAGGTGGTATACATAATGTAATAAAATTGTCAGTTTATAGAGCAGTAAAACTCACTTGTGGAACAGCTAAAGTTTTATATTTCCATTTTAACAAGCACAAACTGAGATGCCATCTCTGAAAAGAAGTTTAATATTAAATCTACCTTTACAGATACCAGATCGTATTCAAAAACCAGTTTATGTTTAGGCAAATTTGACAAAAGCCTTCACAACAACATTTATTCACTGAGCTCTCGAATAAAATCAGTATTAGTCTTTATTTTACTTACTTGGTCCATCAGAAGTCTTATCTTTCTTTCGTCTTTTACATACACAGCAAAACAAAGAAACTACATGGCTAAGAATGATAAGTGGAGGGGGCAGAACTGGTTTCTCATGATAAGCCATAATAAAATGATAACGCTGGTACTTCCATACAATATTGGAGATTGCCTTCACTTGTAAATATACATTACTAGAAAAACAAAGAAGGAAAATAAAATAAACATAGCTAATCAAACATATCTCTAAATTTTAAATACTAAAGATTTCATTGTAATTCTGTACTAAGTAAGGAGTCAAAAGAGCACGCTTCTATAAATGAAAATAAAAAGTAAATGAAAAACTGGGAAAAACCGCAACAACACATGCTATATATGTAAGACAAAGTTCTATAATGTTGAGGACTTTAATAGCAAGCTCTCAGAAAAGTGGACAGAAAAAACACTTTTAAGATTTTTTTGGGGGGGGGTAGGTAATTTTGGGATTTGAACTCAGGGCCTCACCATCCAAGTGGCAACTATTAAAAAACAGGGAGTAGCTCAAGTGGTAGAGTACCCCCTAGCAAACAAATTGGTGAGGGGGTAGTCTTCTTACTGGGCCTGGTGGCCTGGTGGCTCTAGTCTGTAATCCTAGGTACTTGTAAGGTAGAGATTAGGAAAAATCACCATTTTTAGGCCAGGCAAAAAGTTCACGAGACTCCATCTTAACCAATGGCTGGGCAGGGAAGTGTGCACCAGTCATCCTCGCTGCTCAAGGGAAGCACAAACAGGAAGATTACAGTCCAGGCTTGCCTTGGCATAAAACAAGACCCTATCTTAAAAGTAACCAATGCAAAAATGGCTGGCAGAGTGCCTCAAGTGGCAGAGGGCCTATCTAGCAAGTGCAAAGCCCTGACTTTGATCCCTGTGCTACCAAAAATAATAAACTTAAAAAAAAAAAACAAAAAAAACAAAAAAAACCACATAATTCCTAGTGTTGGCAGGAAGTTAGGGGACATAAGCCTTATTTTGACTTAAATGTGAAATGCCTAAAAGCAGTAACGGTACAAATCCTGAACAGTTCTACTTTTAGAGAATATTCTAAAGAAATACTTAAATATTGTTCAAATCACAATGTGGTATTTGGGAACAAATAATTACAATATAATTGAGCAATATAATACAGTGGCTTAAAATATGGTCTATATCATGAAGGATCAGGTAGTTATTAAAAATAGATTGGAGTTAGGCAAGGATGCACCTCAGTAATTCCAACTACTCAGGAGGTAAAAGCAGGATGATCTTGAATTTCAGGCCAGCCAGGGCAGTCAGCAAGACCCTATCTCAAAAATAAAATACAAACAAAAGGGCTATAGCTTAAGGGTCAGAAGACTTGTCTAGCATGTGGCAAGGCCCTAGGAACAATCCCCAGTACCACAAAGATTGGAGAGAAATACTTATTGATTTGAGACAATGTTCATGTTTTAGTGAAAAATAGTATAAAAATAATATTTTTAAAAAGAAAACATTATTCTAGAAATATGTACATCTAACTACTATTAAGATTGTTCAGCTGTATATTTGCCTTGCTGTTTTTCTAGACTGAATGTATGTAGATTCCTTGGCAATCTCGGAAAAATCTCAGGTAATGATTAAATTTATAAAAGAAATGCATGTTGAAAGATCATAAGTCTAAAACTTAGGACTCCTTTTATTTGAAAAAGCATGTCTTCTTATTTGTAATTTCTCAAAGTACTTTAAGCCTCAATAAACTTTTTAAAAAATTATATATATTTCCTTCAAAATAAGCAGAGCTATGTAGCAAATGATCTCTGTATAATAAGGAACTGAATAAAATTCTTACTTGAAAAATGCGATAAGAAGATTAACCATAATGATATACTGTACAAAGAGGTAGACTGCTTGAAGAAATGGAGTCAACCATGTCCCAGGACCACAGATTTGAGAGATAACCGAATCGTTCGCACACACTTCAAGAAGAAAAAAAAAGATTTTAAATAAAGTAGGTCACTAATAACTGCTATCAATGCACAGTTAAGCTTATTTTTTGTTTACTTTATTTAAAGGAAGTTTAAATTAATACACATTTGTTTCACAGATTGCAGCAAAAGCCTCTGGACAGGCAACTACAGGATGCCAGCTTAGAAATTCTTCAACACCGAGGATTTGTAAGGGTATAGCTGTGCTCTGTCCTACCACTCTATTCCAAACAAGGAGCATGCTTAGTGCTGTATCTACCCTTCCAGGCAAGGCTTAGTCTGAGCAGCATTAAGGAAGATAAAATTCTTGGACTCAGCAACACTACAACATTTCTAAGAAAAACAGCTGAACCCAAAAACTGTAATAAAGATTACTGAGTTTAATTTATTATGTCATAAGAGAGGGCTGACGGAGCTGCTGAAGTGTTTTTCATATATAAAATGACTACATTTGAACTCCTTGCTTTTCATTGCCCTCACCTGCAATAGCTAAACACAAATATGGAAGGGATGAGCTTTAATACCCACTAAGAATTATAAGAAATAATGTTATAAAACTAATTCAGGTAGGACAAGGCTTAGAATTAAATAATCACAAAATAGTGACAATTTCTATATAAGTACTTATAGCACATTTAGCAGTGTTTAGTAATTGTTTTAAAATGTATTCTTTCTCACAATGGCTTTATTAATCCTTTAAATAGTTTTATAGGCAAATTGATATTAAGATCCTTTCATTAAAGTTTTATAAATCAATTTTCATTCTATTCTGATTAGTTCAGAGAGACAAATATCTACAAAAGAAAATGAATGCAGGAAACTGAAAGTATATTATCTATCTATACCTTTATAATAACTACATAATAAGGGATATACCATTCAAAAAACAGCAGACAACAAAACCCTAAAAATGACAGTGACTAGGAAGCCATAAACACAAAATCTGACCAGAGTGGAATAGCTAAAGATCACAATCACCTTACTACTATTTGGCCAGCTCCATACTTAGTCACCCATACATAAATAAGTGGGAAGGAGGAACAGAGTTATAGGGCAAAAGGAGGGGTGAAAGAAGGGAAAGTAAGAGAATGATTAAAAGAGAACAAAATAAAGATTGTACAACTCTGCAGAGGGTCAGAAGAATATCCCTGAGAGCTGACAATGTCACATATGTTCACAAATTATCTAGTCTAACTAAGGCAACACTGAGTAAAAATGTGAATAGTAACAAAACTGTTCAACAAACTTAGTATTTACATTCAGAATAGGGTTGAATGGGGAAGGTTATCTCATGTATTAGCTTATCTAGAGAAAGAACTCAAAATTTTGATAAAAACCTGCAACTTGGAATCCCCTATAAAACTCAGCTATCTGCCCCTCAAGATTCATGCAGATTCCTTATTTTTGTCAGTAACATTGTGCTTAACTCCTCAATATTCAATCCACCTTGACTGGCCTAAGCTAATCATGTACCCATCCCCCAGTAACCCTTCAGAGATGGCAAGACAGTCCTAAGCCTACTTGAGGCTAATGAGATAAAATAGTTTCAAAAGGGAATCTTTTCTTCTAATGGTAACCATGGACAAATAGTATCTATTTCTGCTTCTTGTTTCAGATTGTTTTATACTCCTAAGGAAAACCTGTATGAATCAGACACTATGAGACAGCAAGATTTAAAAAAAAAAAAAACCCACACAGGTACTTAGGTAGAATTAACTAACTCTAAAGACCACTCTTCCTTTGAACTTTGTTATGTGAGCCAGTAAATGTTCTCATGATCTAACTCAACTTAGGCCAGATTTCCATTAAAGATGAAAAAATTCCAAAAATCTTTCTTTTCAATTAATCTTCATTTTTTTTTTCCTCTGGAGTTTACTAATACATTGTGGGAGGAATTTGGTTTTAGTTTGACTTTATGGACTTTAAAACATAAAATAACCAAAAGATCAATTTGTAAATGTAAATTCTTACCATCAATTTCATACGCATAAACTTCACCAAAAATCATCCAGTATGGATGAAAAACTATATCTTTAGCAAGAGTCCAAGATGGTGCTTCATGAGGATAAAGTATTGCCTTTCTGGGAACACCAAAACTAAGTAATACTAGAGCCATAATCACTACAATGTAGAACATATTGGCCACCTGTTTAAAAAAAAAAAAAAAAAAGAACAATGTTAAAATACAAGGGAATTTAACAAATTTTCATTTAAAAAATGTTTCTAATACTCTAACAGATAAACAGAACCGTTTTTATTCCTAATAATGGCATCCATGGAAATGTCACTTCATAAGCCTTAACATCAAGGAACTTATGTTTTTAAAGTAGGAAAGAAGGGGGGAGGGTAAGGAAGAAAAAGAAAATGAAAGGATAGAGAAGTCAAGGTCTATGAAGCTAAGCAAGCTGTAAGTATCTTTATTTCTGCCTGAACTATATTACTGATTCGAACTGGAGTCAGCCTTTCTCTACAATACAGAAAAATTTTCAAAGCACAGACACACGCAGGGTTATAGAATCGATTTCCATAAGCACCCTCTCCTAAACCTTCTCTTTTAATTGGAGGTACAGACCCTTGTCTACCTAGCCTTTGATAATCGTCCTTTGCTTACTTCACTTCCACCTATCCTGAACCCTACCAGGCGTCTTCTCCTTGGGTGTAAAAATCTCCTAAGAACAAAAAAACAAACAAAAAAACTGAATTATCTGAATTATCCGAATTATGGGTGGTGAAAAGGTAAATGATACCAATGTTTGGGTAATAAATACTTTTGCAAATCATGTAGTTTGTAATTCTTTAACTTCAGCAAAATTGAGAAAGAGCTTAACTCTTATTAGCCTAGTAAACCACTGAAAAATAAATTTTGTTATCAAGTCATCCTTATGTAGGAATTCAAAGAATTAAGTAAAATGTTTAAAATGTTTCTATCTTTGATTCCTCTCCACTTATTTATTTAGTTGTACAAGTTCTCAGGATTTACATTTTAAAAAGTGAATGCTTTCTCATCCTAGAACATACATATTCATCCCTGAATAATAACTGGGAGAAAACTGCATGCAGATGAAAAGACTACATTCATAATAAATGTACACTTCAATATTTTATGAACTAAAAATAACTAATGACAAAGCAATCTAAAAGAAATCACTATGTCTTAATATATTTCTAAAATGAATATATAGTGACAAAAAATGGAAGGCAGAAATGTTAAAAGATAATGTAGAAATATCAAATATATGAGGTTTCTGCATTTTTATTCTCTAAAGTTCGGGCGGCCCATTTTCCAATGTTCTATATAACCCACATCCTTATTGATCCAATCTGACTGCCAACTACTTCATATTCTAAAGGAAATCTAGTCAAGTTGTGCCTCTCTACTCACAACTATTTTAAGCATTCAAAGAACAGGTATATCCTTCTGCTTTAAGGAAAGCTTCCACAGAGTGGTCTTGTCCCATGAATCCCTACATTACCTACCATTAACTTAATAACTATATTGACTGTTAGGAAAAGACTCCCACACAATTTCCTGAAATATTTTGTATAGGACAGGTCCTTCATGCTAGATTGTCAGATTATTTTTTTAAAATATTATTTGTAAAGTCAAATTAGAGAAATGTGACTGCATAAAGTTCAGGACACTATCTTAATGTTTGTCACACCTTCTTGCATACCACTGAGTAAGAAACGTTAAAAAGTATTTGGTTAACAATTACAACTTTTTAAATTCATAATTTGTCATGGATATAAATATAAGATAATACAACTATCAAAACAGTGAATACTCAGTATTTTTATGGAGCTTCTTTCTACCTGTAATTGCTTTCTCCATCGAACCAACACATATTTACTAAGGGGAACCTAGTGTGTTAGGTACTGGGATGAGTGCTGGAGAACTAAAGGCAGACAAGTTTCCTACTCCACGTTTACAGTCTAAAGAAAGGGTAAATAATCCAGTATGATTGGAGTTTAAAGTATGTTTACACACAGACTGCCAGTCGTGGTGGTGCATGCCTCTTAATCCCAACACTCAGGAGGATCAAAATTTCGAGGCCAGACTGGGCTACACGGCAAGGCCGTGTTTGAAAAAAATAAATAAATAACAACAAAAAAAAGTTATAGTTAGGACGGGTGCAGTGTCTCAAGCTTGTAAATAATCCTAGCCACTCAAAAAGCAGAGATTGAGAGGATCCCAGTTGAAGGCCCCATCTCAACCAATAAAAGTGGGGCACCTGTCATCCCATGCAGCAGATGGATAAATAGAAAGACTGCTACCCAGGCTGGCCTGGGCATAAAAGCAAAACACTACTCGAAAAATAACAAAAGCAAAAAGGTCTGGAGGTGTTGCTCAAGTGGTAGAGCACCTGTCTACCAAGCATAAGGCCCTGAGTTTAAATCCTAGTGGCACAAAAATAAACAAACAGTAAATAATAAATAAAAAAATTCTGTAGGGATGGAACATGGCCCCAGAAGAGTATATAGCAAATAAACTTGATCTAGCTAGAAGGTACCCCCAAAAAAAAAGCTTCCTTGAGAAAAATGATGTTGGAGCTGAGGATAAATCTACATTAATTAGTCAAAAAAAGCTAAGGATATGTGAATACAGATGAAGCTAGCTATTTTAGGTAGAGAGAAGAAGAAAAGCTATGCTAATTAGGTAGGTCTATGAATTTTTAACTTTTTTTTGGGTAACACTGGAGTTTTAAACTCAGGATCTTGCTCTGGCTAGGTAAGTGTTCTGCCACTTGAGCCACACCTCCAGCTTTTTGCTTTAGGTTATTTTTTAGATAGGAAAAAAATCTGAGACAGGCTCTTGGTATGTTGCCCAGGCTGGCAACGAACTCCTAGACTTAAGGGATCCTTCTACATCAGCCTCCCACCAGGTCCTGCTTAAAAAGAAAAACTTAAAAGGCCTCTTAGACTACAGCATAGATAAAAAGAAGTCAAGGATGTATGACAAGCCTAGAGAAGTAGAGCACTTTGTGTAACAAGCACAAAGCTCTGAATTCAAACCCCAGTAAACACACACGCAAGGAAGATGTTAGTTACCTTTGGAGGAAACTTCTTTAAAGGGTACAAAGGATTCTATTATTTCTTACAACTCTGTGTGAACATATAATTACCTCACAATTAAAAGGAAAGAGAAAGAGGGAGCAAGGAAGGAAAGGAGGGTGGAAGGAACAGCAGGTGCGCAAGTAGACAAGGGCCAAACTGGGAAGGGATTGAGGATTTAATTAAGTATATTGATCTCCTGGAGCAATGCAAAGATGGCTAAGTGACAAACTCAGGTTTGCATTTTGAAATAATCACTCTAGCTATAATGTAGACTGAAGACAAGTCAGACTGATTGTGAGGAAACAGATGACTAGCCAACTGCAGGTGCTCAATGATGTGGTTTGATTTAGGGTATCAACAGTAAAGATGAAAAGAAATATACACATCGGAGCTAACAAGTTCATATTTTTATTCTGTCTAAATGCTAGCAAGTGGCATTTAAAAGTTAAAGCATTTAAAGATAACACAAACACAATGATTTCCTAACCGTATTCTATTAAATACTAAAGTTAGTAAAATATCCTTTGAGGAACAGTAAATTAGGAATACTAGACAGTCACTGACTCAATAAAACTATACTAATACATACTTATGATTTCTAGGAAACAGTGAAACCCATGAGCATTAGCAAACAGCTCTTAACTTACCATTTTTCCAATCATCATTACATAAGGTCCTGCTTGTTGATTTACAGCTAGAAAATCTAGCAAACGCACATACCAAAATATTATGTTAAGACAATAAATTAATCTTCCAGCCACAAAAAGATGATTATCATATGCATTCTCAAAGTTCCATTTTGCTCCAAATCTTAGTCCAAATCCAATGAAGAAAGTAATTATGGCAATTGTATCACTGATATTGAAGTAATCACTAAACCATACTTTAATCTTCTGGCTTATTTTCCCAGCTTCAGACATAAAGATCTAAAGGTTTAACAAGAACAAAAAAACTTTAATAAATTTCTTCCTATTAAAACAAATACAGCATTTAATTAAAATATCACAATAAAATTTTAATTATATTTTAGTGCTTCAAATCTATGATCTTGGCATTTGATTATGTGTTTAATCACCAAAACAATAAGATAGGAGAGTTATGTACTTCTAATAAATGACCTGCTCAATCAAGGCCATCCACTTAAGAAGCTGAAAATCTTGGGTCACAACACAGGACTTTTTGTTGTTATAATTTCTGGCAGTACTGAGGTTTGAATTCAGGAAGCCACACGTGCCAGGCAGGATTAACAGTGTTCCCAACTCTACAACACAGTTCAGAAGATCTAGAGTACGAAATGCTTTAAAAAATTGTTTTACTTCAAATTAAAGCAAAACGTAGATACCTGGCAGTATCTCCCAAAGATGTCTTAATTTGCAGAAAGTAAGTAACATTCAATAGTTAAGGAGCTGTATTTATCCTAACTTAAAACTCCTCTTGAATATAATGATTAAAATGTACCTTGTAGGAAGAATGAGAACACATTCACAGCTTCAAAATCCCAATACCTGAGTCCTAAATGCTAAAGTTTATCCCAAATACTTAAGTCTCCTTTTGGCTCTGCTCTCTTAACCAATTAATGACCCTTCCTACTAAGGTAATCAATCACTACCATCTCCTGAATCCTCACAGCACTGTTTTATGAATAGATATTTTACCACGTATCAACCTGCTTTCTTCAACCATGTTGATAAAACAGATTTCAAAAAACATAAGGAGAGGACACAGCAGGAATTTTAAGTGCACAGTAAGTTATTCAATAAAATAAATTCCTATGATACCTTAATGAGAAGGAGGTACCATGCCTTGCAATTATATTTTTGCAGTATTGAGGTTGGAACTCAGTACCTTGCACATGCTAGGCAGGTGCTTCTTCTCTTGAGCCACACCCCCAGTTCCCAGCCCTTTTTGCTTTGGTTATTTTTGAGATAAGGTCTTGTGTTTATGTCTGGACTGACCTCAACAGCGATCCTCCTATTTACATTTTCCATGTAACTGGGATGCCAGGCACATACCACACCAGTTTATTGATTAAGATGGTGTCTCTCAAGATTTTTGCCTGATTGGTCTTGAGCCCCAATTCTCTTGATCTCTGTCTCACAAGCAGCAAGGGTTACAGGCATAAGCTACCATGTCCGACTTGGAGGGTTTTTAAGTAAGTAATTTATTTTTTGTCTTTTATCTTTTTTTGTTTGTTTTTTGAAAACCAACTTTTCATGAAGAAGAGTATTTAGAACTGTGTTGCTAATGAAAGCCTATCTAAGAAAGTGCATTTCTTTACAGAGCTGTGTCACACCATACTTTGCACACCTCTACTTTCCCCTGTTAAAGTAGAATTAAGTCTCAAATAATGCCTTTTCTTTTATATCCTCTAGAATGGGACAGTACTGTCATTCCTCCATGCATGTAAACTATCTTGTACATGCTCTATGAGATGTAGTATTGACTGTGAATATACTTTATTTATCAGAGCTGTTTTTATGATGCTGCTCTACAGTGTTTTCTTTCCAGAAGATGACTGAGAGGTTAATTTTTAAAATAGCACCAGGTATCGCCAACAGTAACAGAATATTGCTATTTTCTTGGGTTTTGCTTTTTACTTTCTCTTCTTTTTATTTTAACAGAGTGTTAGATGTCTCTATAATTTTGTTCAGAACCTGGAATAGCTGTTGCTGTAAATGATACATAACACATTGCTATTATTGGTTTTTATATAAATATAAATATTATAAAATTTGAATTTTTGAAAACTTTAGTGGTACTGTCAACTTTGGGAAAAAGCATCCACTTTACCATGATGAATTGGCACTGTACATTAAACAATAGCCATATTAGTCTAGAAATATTAAATTTTTTTCCATTTTTACAAGGATAATCCACTGTATTAAAAAAAAGTCTTAACTAAAAGTATTCTCTAAATAATGGGAAAATAAAACTCATGTTCTACACTTTTATAATGTTACTAACCTATACAAATTACAAATACACACATACCCACATATGCACCCAAAACTAAACAAAACAAAATTCTGCATATACATATTAAGCTACTAGTAGGAAAAATGAAAGACATACCTCACGGACTTTTTCAATGGCATAGGTAAAAATATAAGCAATAACAATCCATTCTTGAACTGAAGGTAATCGTTCCATTTGTACAAGAACTACAAATGTATAAAGCATCAGAAATCCTAAATATGCCAACTAATAAAAAAAAGAAATAAAAGTTGTTTGAGTAAAACTGATTTCAAAACAAAACTTATTGTGGCCATTTTCATGTAGATATAAAAACTGATGAGAGTTATGGCAGGCTAGGGAAATAAACTGCAATAAAGAAAGAAAGAAAAGAGAAATTCTTGTGGTCACCAAGATAGGCTGTTTTTGAGTAGCCATTCTCATGAATGAAAATATGAAAAACCCAAATTATTTCCATTAGTGAGGACAAAATCTGGAGACCAGGTAAACGAGATTTTCATTGGAGGGAGGAACAAGAAATTTTCATGAGATGGAAATTTAATAAATAGATTAATTTATATAATCTATTTTATTGTTTTATTTTATTATTTATTTATTTAATCTATCAGGTTCATAGGCATGAGTGTGGGTGACAAAGTAATGGCTGAAGGAACAAAGACTCAAATGTTCATCTCAGCATCCAGCCAATTGTAGGCTTTGACAATTGTCTGACACTGATGAAAATGAAAACAAGAACAAAATTTAAAAATACCTTAAGAGTTTACCTGGAAAGGGGAGTAAAACCCCATTCACTCAGACTAACCCTCTACTAAAGTAGGGGTTAATCTGGTGTGTTTCTTCAAGTGTGTCAAACCTGAGGGAGAATGACACTCATCTGCCCTTTCCCCAGTAAAAATACTCAAACAACGAGCAAAAACTACATTTCAGCAGGTGAGTACATTCCTCTATGAACATATGCTCTTTAATCTGCTAGTAAAATCTACTTTTCCATAGAACAAGAGAAAAGTCAATTTAGCATGTAATCAAGCACATAAGAAATAAGCCGCTATAAATGAAACCATACAAATAATCTGGATTATTCTTTATCACAACAAAGAGCTTTATGTTTGAACTTTTGTGTGTTATTTACACAATCTTAAGGCATAAAGAAATTACAATTGCATATCAGTCTTTCTTTTGGTTAATCTTTCAACATTATTTTTAGATGATTTGTATTTAGCCCACTTATAAAGGGCTATCGTTATCACAGATTTGTTTAGTAAGTTTTTACTTCCAATTAGAATTAAAGTGTTAGTGTTTATCATACTAGAAGTTAGAAATGCAGATGAAACTAATCCAAATTTCTTTTAAATGGGAAATACCTTTTCATTGATGTAAATTATATGAGATTAGTATGGAGTCTAGAACAAGGTTCCCTAAATCATTATCTTTTAAAAACATCATGTTCTTCCCCAGCATCAAAATACAACAAAACAAAAAATCATACACATACAATATAAAAACCTACCGTGTTAAACCAGAACTTTACGATTGGTGCATGATAAAAGGCATAAAACTTTCGTGTGATTGGAAGCTTTTTTGATTTTATATGGATCTCCATTTCATTCTTTCCTTCAGTACTGTCCAAAATTCTTACTTCTTTAAACACATCCTAAAATTAAAAATATACATGTATACTTATTGTGTACTTATTCACACCAAAGCTTTTTTACTACGAAGTGTTTCCTTCTTACCATGGGGATCTCTTCTGCTATGTTCTGAAAGTTGTTTTCGCTATCTTCCATTGTCATCTGATGAGCATCTTGAGATTGTGGGATATGGGACATTTCAGCCTTGGTTTTATATTCTAGCATTAATATAGCAGGTGGGACTAAAATGCTTAAAATGACCTAAAAGTTTCAGAAACAGAAAAGTTTGATTTCCAGTTAGAACTAAAATGTTCACATCAATGACTTTTAAAAATATAGCAAAACCATAAAAAGACATTAAACATTTTGTGATTGTTAGTTATTTTACCCTAGAAGTATAAAGGCAAAAAGAATTCTTTTTTTTTGTCTCCTCTTTTTTGGTGCTGGGGATTGAATTGCAAGGCCTGACCTATGCTGGGCAAGTGCTCTATCACTGAGCTATATCCCAACCCCAGAATTCATTGTCTTTACAAATTATATTTGAAGAGGCCCAGGTTTAACTGTTTTAAGGAGTAACAAAACACTTGAGTATTATGATGACAGTGTTGAATAGATGTCAGTATAGACTTGCCCTTTAAATAAAATCAGGTTAAAATTTGTATAGAAAATATATTTTCTTTAAACAAAACTCAAGCATTATGAAAGTACTCTGGGCTTAATTTTATCTGAAATCTCTTTATAAGTGTTCCATGTTGTAACATGATTATTCAGCTCATGCTTCTATAAATGAAAAGGTTTATTTCTACAATTTTACATATTACTTGATGAAGAAATTATAATTGAGCAGAAGGCGTTTGGTTAGCCTTTCTCTCACCACCACTTTTAGTAGATTCTTAGTATTTATTATTGCTAAACTACTTGACTGATTTCTGCTTTCTACATTTCTGTACCTTATTTAGAAAGATATAAGAATGAAAAAAGCTTAAAGCATTTTCTCTATGACAAACGGAAATGACTGACCATTTTATCCAATTCTTAGCCTTAAACACTGTACATACAGATATAATTATTCAAAACTATAAACTAGGCATATGGATGTACTTATTCAGTATATTCTAAGTAACATAAAAAATAACAGATTAAGATGGTCCTGAATTTTGGAATCTAGGAATCATCCTTTCATAAAGCAGTACCTCTTCATGGCTGCTCAGGACTGTAAAAGCCACTATTTCCAAACGGTTATTGCCCTCATACTTCTCACTCAGGGAGGGCCATTAATCATCCACATTTGGAAAAGACTCATGAATACTGTTTCTTCTTCTTCCAGTTTCCCTCAGCCTCATAAACCAAGACATTTTACTATTCCTCTGTTCGAAGCTATTCCTCTGTTCTTTGTAGCTAATCACACACATTAAATCAAACTGTTTCTAAAGTATACCTTGTACCAGGAATTTTTCCTCATATTCAGCCTTCCCATCCACATATCAGACAACAGCATTTGTGTGCAGGTGTGGGCTACAAAAGGTCTCAGTCTTGAAGAAACTGCTAACTTAAGGCAGGTTGAATTACTCCAGTTTTTCAGTTCATAAGTGAGTAATTTCATAGCCATGGTTTCATCTTGTCTGAAGGACTGTTCCAATAATTCAACTGCAAGTTGACCAAAATCACTATAGAAAGATAAAAGTCAAAATACACTCAAATTAACAAATTGCAGTATACTGTTTTGTTTGTTTGCTGCTGGGGATCAAACTTGGAGCATGCTAGGCAGGCACTCTATAACTGAGCTATGTCTGCAGCCCAAATTGCTGCACTACACACACTTATGGAATTATGAGGCAACAGAATCATGGTAGCTCTATATCCAGACATTTGCATCTATGGGGGAATCACAAAATACTAAAATATGTCACATTAAATGTAAAACTGAAAAGGTGAATCCAGAGCACTTTCTCCTTGTCTTACCTTTAAGATTATGTAGCCTCACTGGGAACCAAAACTGTCAAGGACAGAATGTTCTGTTTAAAAAGTCTCTATATTATGTTTCAAACACAGGTGGAACCTGGTAGAGAAAAGAATCACGTGGCCAGGGACTAACCTCATCATGAAAAAATCTGAATTCTGAATTCCCACTAAGTAATCATAGGACCCTATATAAGTTATTTTCCATAACAACTGTTATTCTCTTCCAAAGACTGTCCACCTGGGGACAGAGAGGTCCAAGTACCTGTTATAAAACTTCTTCAAATTAACTTTTCAGCTTAATATGACAATACTTCCTTAAGTAAACTATAAACTATACTATTTTACTCTTCTACATATGTGATTCCATCATCCAAGATGTCCTCCCAGTTGACTTGAGCCCATTTCTTTATAACATACTTTAAACCTCCTTCCTTCATTTCCTTACCATTATAAATGGAATTCTTCTTAATCTAATTGCTACCTTGTACATTTGCTCTTTTAGATAGGGTCTTGCCCAGGTCAGCTTCGACCCTGATCTTTCTTCCTCTCCTAAATAGCTGGGATTATAGATGTGTACCACAAGGCCTGGCTCACTTCAAATTTAAAAAAAAACAAAAACAAAAACCTAATGTTTTTTAAAATAATTTTTTTAAATTTATCAATAAAATTATATGCACACACATATCCCCATTAAGCACGCAGCACTATAAACTAACATTCACTCAAACACTATATTTTGTATTTTTAAATTGTTGTCAAATGATAAAATGTCACTTACTTGGAATACTGTTTCAGTTCTTCTGAAGTATCATCTACCAGGTCACTCTGCTTTGCTTCGTATGCCATTGAACGATAGATCTTACAGGCAACTAACGCTTTTGCCATTGATTCTTCACCATGCTGCCATAAAAAACGAGCCATGACCTGCCTCTTCATAAGGCAAGCCCAAATTAACAATTCATTAAGTGGATAAGGGAAACGCTTGGTTTCTGGATCATCAATATCTACAATTTCATCTTTGGTTCTTTTCTTCCTTCCTTCTTCCACACCTGTATCAATCTTTAAGGGAAAATAAATGTTATAAGGCTCACTATAATAAGACATTCACATTAGTGAAAAAATTTTTATAAAGGCTGTAATGTTTCAAATATATGATACATTTTAATACAAGTTTGAATATCTTTGTCTACATATTAATCAAGTAAAATGGAATAAAACTTGTCAGTTAAAAGTTTTACAAAATCTGATCATAGCTAAACATGAATAATTTAACAGAATCATTAATTCACAATGAATGTCTTTGTATATGGGGAAAAAAGATTCAGATATAAAATACCCAAAACCAAAAGATAATTCTCACTAAAAGAAGTAGTTATTACTTACTAAGTACTTCACGCATTGGAGGAGTAGGGAAAATAAGAACTTGAATAGTGTTGATATTACTCACTATACAAGAATGAATACAGAAATCTTAAATTGACTGAAACTATCATAGGAAAAGGACGAAGGTAGAATGAAGAAAATCAGAGATAAAACAATCGGGGTTATAATACATATATATATATGGAAATACCACAAGGAAACTCCCTGTGTCTACCTTTATGTCAAACAAGCTAAAATGTCATGTTTTTCATTTTATCTTTTCTCTTTTTCCACCTACAATATTGGGGAACAGGAGGGCGGAACAAGTCCTGCCCAGGAGGGAGGGCTGGCACCAGTGGGAGGGGGGAGGTGTTGGGTAAAAGGAGGTAGGAGGGTGAATACAATGCAAAAAATGTGTACACATGTATGTAACTGCAATAACAGTACCTGCTGAAACTACTCTAGGAATCAGGGGAGGGAGATGAAGGAGAATCGTTGAGGTGAATTCATGTATGATATATTTGTAAGAACCTGAGTAAATGACACAATGTACCTCCACCCACCACAACAATAAAGGAAAAAAAAAAACAAACTATGTACTTAAGAAAGTACAATGTGAAATCCAGAAAGAGTACTATTTACATTAACATACTTCTGATGAGCTAAATACACCTATTTTCTTTCAAAACTAAACCACTCTACCTTTGGTCTGTAGGGCTGTGCTGTTTTGATGAAATGGTTGTGTCTAGTCTTCTCCTTTTTGTCAGCTCTATTGCCAAAAGACTCTTGATTCTTTCGCAGCTGAGGGGTGCTACTGGAGGCATTCCGGCCAGATCTCTGAAAGTGAGATTTCAATATGCTGACATGTTATAAAAAACTCAAGATTAGTTTATATATGTGTTCGAATGTTTATATACGCATATAAACGAAATATGAGTGCCTTATGATTTTAATCACAAAGTTTTCTTTTTGAGACACACCCTTATGTGTCTGGCCTTAAACTGGCAACCCTCCTGCTTCAAATATTTCTAATTACTCTTAGTTGAAACCTTGTACTTTAAAGACAATGTTACTTTCACTATTCTAATTAACTAATTTGAGGTGGGGGAGTATTAGGGTTTGAACTCAGGGTCTTGAGCCATGCCTCAAGTCTTTTTTTTTTTTTGGTGGTGTTGGGATTTGAACTCAGGGCCTCATGCTTGCTAGGCATGTGTTCTAACATTTGAGCCACTGTGCCAGCACCCTCAAGTCATTTTTGAGTCAGTTATTTTTCAGATAGGTCTCACAAACTTTACCCTGATGGCTTCTAACCACAAGCCTCTTGTTTAGTTGAGATTATAGTTGTGCACCATCATGCCCAGGCAGTGCTAACTTTCTAGCCCCAGCTGACCTTGAACTGAGATCCTCCTATATCTGCCTCCCAAGTAGCTAGGATTAAAAGTATAAGCCACCATGCCTGGCTACCTAATGTAACTAATTCTATTTCTGCACTTTTTGTGGTACTGGGGATCCAACCCAGGGCCTCATTCGTACTAGGCAAGCACTCTTATCACTGAGTTACATCTCTAGCCAGCTCTGTAACTACTTCTTTATGTTTAAAATGTATGGGTTAACTTAATTTTTTCCCAAGAAGGGCAGACTGTCACCTCACTTGGATGCATTGAGCGTCCTGGAAGCTTGATTACCCTATGTTCTCCTACAAATAGACCTTGAGAGCTTGTTTGGAGGTTCTAGCAGTTAGTTACTCATACACCCTTAGGAGAAGAATGGTTCTCCTCTTCCAGGGAAGGTCATCCTCTTTGACCGAGCAAGCAGCTTTGAGAGGGACACACATGGAGCAGTGAGAGAAGAAGGGGACACCTGCCTAGCCAGCCAGATCAGCAGAATCAACCCTGGATTCTCAATGGGTGACATATGTTGCTACCAAATCACCCTTACAGCCTAAAATGCAAGGGTTAACTTCAACCCCCACCCCAAGCCTTACATACCCGATTGCTTCCACCAAGACTATTGTATATCACTCGAAAGCGTTTCCGAGTGTAGGTACATCTGTAGGTTCCTCCCATGAGGTATTCAATAACAAGTCCTATGTCAATTAGAGTGATCTTATATCCTGGAGGAAGATTTCCCTGGAAACAAAAGAGTACTTTAAAATGTAGAGGATATTTTTCATATGCCAATTGCCATTCTACCTCTCCAAAATGACAAATGTTTATTTGTGGCAAGAAGCTGGGATTACTATCTTCACAGGAGAAAACAATGACTTGTTTCTCCATTTCTTTTCATACGAGGGGATTCTGACATTTTGAGTTCTCAAAGGTGTGGCTTGGGACAAGAATATGACCTAAAACAGGTGATAACAACTTCATCTCCATTGCCCCAATATTTCACACACAGAAGCAATGGAACTTCTAAGACCAAGTGTTTCATTTTGACAGTAGTACAGTGTAACAAATTACCTTTTCTAAAAAAAAAAAAAAAAAAAAAAAGTTATGCGTTATTTTTCCAAATTAACCCGGAAATAAACAGTTTTTAAGCAAAAGTTATAATTGCTATACTATGGATTGTACACAATTTTCTATCCTTATTCAGGATTTAACTACCATCTGTAATAGTGCTTAAAGCTAAGACTTCATTTTCCTAGGGCAACAAACAACTTTTAGAATACAAGCATTTATGAGTTTATAAGTTAGTAATGCTTCAATATTTCAAAATTTTAAACTTACTAATTTCATTGCATAACATTAAAGAGGTTTAATGCATTAGATTATTTGCATTTGTTAACTAATTCCGCCTTCCTACCATCACCGTTTTTTCAATTTCTGTGTATTTTCTGAACCTGCTTAACAGGGGGCGGGTGTGCGTGTGCGTGTGCGTGTGCGTGTGTGTGAGAAAGAGAGAAAGAGAGAGAGAGAGACTGGGGTTTGAACTCGGGTGTGTGTGTGTGTGTGTGTGTGTGTGTGTGTGTGTGTGAGTGAGAGAAAGAGAGAGAGAGAGAGAGACTGGGGTTTGAACTTGGGGGTGTGTGTGTGTGTGTGTGAGAGAGAGGAGAGAGAGAGAGAGAGAGAGAAAGAAAGAGACTGGGGTTTGAACTCAAGGCTTCAAAGCAGGCACTTTACCCGAGTCACATTGCTAGCCCATTTTGCTCTGGTTATTTTGGAAATGGGGTCTCCAAAATTATTTGCCTGGGCTGGCCTTAAACTGTGATCCTCTGGATCTCAACCTCTCAGATAGCTAGGATTAGGAGTAAGCCACTGTGCGCAGCATGTATATATTTTTAATATTTTGGTTTCATCTTTTAAATCTCTAATGTCGAGACAGTTATATTTTCTAATCTCTAATTTGAAAACAATTAAAATATTTATTTCCAGTGAAATTGAAATACAAGATCTGGGGGATTTTTTTTTTTTTTACAAAAGCAACAAAACATGTTTTATGTTTGAAAATGTTACCTATGATATTTCTCTTTTTTTTTTTTTGAGACAGGTTTCTCTAGGTAGTTCAGGCTATCCTCAAAGTGGAGATCCTCCTGCTCAGTAACCCAACTGCTTAGATTATAGGCATACACCACCATAACTGCCTTTCAAGTGTGCCCCAGACCAGCCTCAAACTCATGATCCACCTGCCTAATCTTCAGCTCATTCATTACCGGTCATGCACCACCACGGCCAGTAATGTATTTACTCTTCAATATTATATTTTTTTCAGAAAGTCAAGACCATTATGATCTGATCCCACTAAAATGGAAAACATTTAAACTAAGGAGAATAATGCAAGCTGTTTTTACAAATGTTATGACAATTTCTTAAAGTATACCATACTCATAAAACTCAACATGTTAATTTGAATAATAAAAATTTAATTACTCCCTTTATCTTAGCGTTTATCACTTATGGAAATAAAAAAATTGGTCCAGTATTATAGCTATCAGTATAACAACAGTCAACACATACTCAATGATTTGTTTTCAGAATTTAAGTACTTTCCTTGTTTTTTTATTTTTGGTACTAGGATTTGAACAAAGGCTGTGCACATACTAGGCACATGGTCTACCACTAAGGTACAATCCACAGACCAACACTGTACTTCTTTTTGCTGACCCACACAAGTAAATCATAATGCAAATGTGTTTTAGAAAGTTCTTGTCTGAAGGTCAAGGCCATTACTTAAACCTTAAAGCAGAAAATGACATTTCTGTTTTAAGATTTTCATCCTTTTTTGTTGTTATTGTTTTGTGTGGTACTGGGGTTTGAACTTCAGGACTAAGTTTTTAGGCCTTTAATAATACATTCACAATAGAGAGTAAAAGTTTGAAAAAAAATCCAAAGAATTTCAGAAAGAAAATAGTTTCAAAACCTAAGAACATTTTAATCAAATATGAGTTAACATTTCTGTAATTACTGGGATTTTACTTAGCTATAAAAACTGGTGACAAAGTTTAAAACTATTAATTAAAAAAAAATTTCCAATAGACAAAAAGAAAGGTAATGATGCATCGATTTAGTCACTCTAAGACAGCACAGACCATCTGACAATGTAGGCAGTCACTACTGACACAAGAAAGTTTAAAAAGGACAGCATGGCAGTGTTTTTATCAGCCATGAAGATCACCTTCCGTATCCTTCAATTTCCTAATTCAATGTCTTTAACACTGGGACAAATTTCTGATGAGAGGCAAACAATATTAATGTTCTCTCTTTCACAGAACAATAAGCATTATAAAATTCATCCCATTCTATGCTGAATGACCGGAAACTGGTGTTCACTCCACAAACATTCCTTTTCTGTCACTTCTGATACATTATGCTCTTTACTTTTCTCTTATAACACAAACTTAGCTCTCATTATATCTTGTCGAAAAAAGCTGTCATTTTATTGCTTTTTTAAAAAAATGTAAATGTTTGGGAACAAATCAAGTATAAATGATTTTACAAAACAACATTTTTTAAAAACAAAAATGGTTTCTTACCTGTTTGACATCTCGAACTAGATGAAATAGCATTGGATTAGTTGGACCTTGTTTCTTTAGAGAGAAAATAGTAAGAACAAACTATTATTTTTCTTCTAAAATGACTTAAACAATTGCCCTTTTTGTCACTTACATAATTTATAAAGAGTGTCTTGTAAAATTATACTATTTTGAAATCACTTCTTTAAAATTAGGACAAACATAAGGCTGAAACTATTTTATATCATTATATTTGCTATCAAATGTTGAATTTCAATCAGTGACTTTTTTTATAAAAATGATATCAATATTACAAGCTTCATAATTATATTTTAAATTTAAATTTATATTTTCTTCATTGGTAATAGAGCTCTACATTTTTTCCTCTGTTCCTGAAACCAATCATCAAGTTGTATGAATGTTTCAAGAATTTCGGGAAAAGAACCTTAAACATTTATATATCCATCTCCCTATTATCTCTCTTTCATATACTGTATATTGAGCAGACCAATCACAATAGTCTTTACACTAATCTCATTTTGATGGCACTCTGTAATTGAAAAAATATCTAAGAATATATTTCTCTGCCAACACTGAAGTAAATGGCCCAAAAATGTATTCCTCTAAACATGTCAAAGATTTGGCTCATGTGAAACTTATTATAATGAATTTTATGTGGCACAAAATTTATTCTCAATACTTTAAATCTTGTTTAAAAGAATTATTACATGGACCCTAATCCTTCCATTGGGCCATGGCTAATTTTTTAGATAAGAGGGTCTTAGAGTAGTAAGTTTTTTTATTTTGATCATATCTACTTGGGAATATGTTTTCAAATCTAACTAGGAATACCTATCATTATTTATTTGAAAAAATTATTTTCTTTGGTAGTCCTGGCTTACAAATTCAATGTAACATCTAGGATGACTATAATTGATGTTGCATGTGTTATCTGCCTATTTTCTACCTTACTTTTGCTTCATCTTCTTTTTGTAATAGTCTATCACTTAGGGTCTGGGTTCTCTGCCCATTCTCCCCCAAGAGTTAACTTTATAAAATAAACATGTCTTCTAAGTTAATATGATGCTGTACCTATTTGTAAGGTATTAGGAAGTTGTGTTTACCTTCTCTAACAGAAAGACACAGTAGATGTTTATCTATTAAAAAGAAATTTTTAGTAAAATATAACTATACTTTCATATACCAGTTCTCAAAATGTGGTCTGGAGATTCCTTAGGCCCTCAAGATCCCTTTGGGAGACCCATGAAATCAAAACTATTTTCACAATCTCTAAGATTATATATACATTGCTTTGCTCTCACTCTTTCAATGTTCAGTGGAGTTTTTCAGGGGTTCCCCTCACCACACACCACAAAGGCTTCTTAATGTGTGATAGCATAAGGATAAATTTCCAAGCAAATAAAAGAATCCAAATGTAAAACTAGTTTACTTCTATTTTTTTTTTTTTTTCTTAAAAACTGTTATTGGCTGAGGGTGTAGCTTAGTAGTAGAATGAATGCTTGCCATGCATTGAGGTCATGGGTTCAATCCCTAGCGCGCACACACAGAGAAAATGAGATTTATGTTAATGTGTAATGAGTTTATTATTGTTACTTTCATACAAATTAGGAGATAATTTAAAAACGTTTTACATTCTAATATGGTACGCACTAATACAGAAAAACAAAACCTTTAGAATACCACTTCAGGGTCCTCAATAATTTTATGTAAAAGACCCTTAATATCAAAAAATTTAAGAACCTCTACTTCATAAATCTTTAAACTTTTTCAGTATTTCATGCTGAAAGTACCTATTACTTATTTAGCAACTTTGAATAAGACAATTAAAAATTACTTGTCTTAGCCGGGCACCGGTGGCTCACTCCTGTAATTCAGCTACTCAGGAGGCAGAGATCAGAAGGATCAAGGTTCGAAGCCAGCCCGGGAAAATAGTTCATGAGACCCTATCTTGAAAAAAGCCCATTACACAAAAAAAGGGGCAGGTGAAGTGGCTTAAGGTATAAGCCCTGAGTTCAAGCCCTGGTACCACAAAAAAAAAAAAAAATTACTTGTCTTCCTAATGGGATCAATTTTTATTTTGACTATATTATATTTGCTTTACATTTTAGGGAGAAAGCTCATGTCAGCACAATGAAGAATCCTTTTCATTTGTACATCTGCTAACTAGAGACAACAAATGCCCACCAAGTTTAATGTAATCAAAGGGAAAAAAATGGGGGAAAACAAAATATAAGCCCTCCTCAAAAGCATTTTGTAATCCAAAGGGAAGATATAATCATTCTCAACTATGTCAGTGAGCATCATGGAAGCAGCAAATAACACTACGTCAAGTTTGAAACAATGAATAAAACTTCATTAAATGAGGAGTTAATGGAAGAAAAATAGACAAACACTATATAAATAGCAAGTGCTTTTTCAAAAAGCTTGTATTTTTAGAAAATAGTGGATAGACAAAGACAATTGAAGTGCCTACTATTTCTATTTCAGGGAAGGGGTGGGGAATAATTAGGCCAAGTGAGAAATAGCTGAGAAGGTACTGAGAAGCTAGCTGAGGTAAAATGTGGAGCGCTTTTAAAATCAAGCTACAGTTATGGATACTATTATCTACACATTTTGGGGAGCCACCAAAATTTTCTAAACTGCAGAAAGATAAAGTATAATGTCATTACAAAACCAGAGTTGCTCTGAGAAAAGATTAAAGAAATAGAGATAAGGAAGTTAGATTATTGAAGTAATGGTATTGAGGTTGAGTCTACAAAGACTTTAGTAGTGAGAAAGGGAGTCAGTGCTGTTAAGTCTGCATGGCTCTTCTGTGCAGCTGTGCTGACAGGAAAGGACTCCCCAAATAGGAAAATAGTTTCAGACTGTCAACCAATCAATTTATACTGAGAGTGGATGCATTTTCTTCATAAAACCAGCACGACATTAAGGTTCTATCAACAGAAATGGGTATGTTCAGGTAAAATGATATTTTGCAAAGAGCTAGTCAATAAAGCATTCTGTCACAGACTTACAGTGTTATAAAGCTCTTCCAGTCGGGGAATAGTAAGAAATTTATGCATGCTCACTCCATTTTCTATGAGAAGTTTTACAAATGCAACTCTATCCATTACAAGAGCATCAAGCATAGCTTGTTCCAAGGATCCAACCTAAGAGAGTATCAAAATTAATAAATGTATTCCACACATTCTCATTATCAATCACTTCTAAATGTAAGTCCTTAAGATTTATACTTATTTGCTCTCAGTGTTCGGAAAAAATTAGAAATATGCAGCCAGTTGCAGTGACTCACAACTGCAATCCCAGCTACTCAAGAGTAATAAATCAGGAGGTGGAGATTCAGGGCCTCACTGAGGCCAGTCCAGGCAAAAAGTCACTGAGATACCCCACCATCTTAACAAACAAGCTGGGAGTGGTGGTTTACATCTATAATCCCAGCTACACGGGAGGATTAGGTAGGAGAATAAAGGTCTAAAATAAAGGCTAGGACCTAAGGTATTTAGGGAATAGCTTTTATTTATTTATTTAAAAGACCTATCTAGAACAGCATTCTCCCTAAGGAATATTCCATAACTGCTATTTCTGTAAGAGAACAGTGTAATATGGGGAAAGAGCCACAAGGTTTACCATCAATTAGATTTAGGATAAAATACCTTAGAGCAACAGTTGTCAATGTTTAGCAAAGGCTTTTCCTTTCTTTTCTAAATTTCTTTTTTTTTGTTCCCAGTAACAGGGATTGAACTTACTAGGCAAGCACTCTTACTACTTGAGCCATGCCTCAATCCCTCTCACGAATCATTCTAATAGTTCGGAGTCACTGCTGACTGGTAAGGGACAGGGTCAAGGGACACCAGAATTATGCCATCCATCCACTGGACAATCTCACTCAAATAGAAACAGATCCATATCTCACACTATTATTATTCTGAAGATGTTTATGTTTTATGTATGAACAGAAAGTCTTCTATATTGTGGGGGTTTTTGTTTTTTTTTTTATAAAATGAATTTTTAAAAACTGTTACCACCATATAAATCAGGCAAGATGGTACTTAGTTTTCTTCAGGATGTTAATACAAATTATTCGCCATTAGGAAAAATTATCTCTCTTGACAGCAATATTTATGAATGTATGTGTCAATACACAATGAAATTTCAAGATGGAAGGTATGTTTGCTGTGATATTTTTCACTATCCAGTTCTGTCATATTCAGTGCTGGGGATGTAGCTCAATGATAGTTTGCCTGTCACGTACAATACCCTGGGTTCAATCACCAGTACTGAAAAATAATAATACTACTATTAGCACTTCCTTATTCACTCATGTGAACTGAATGAAAGAGAGTAAAATGATTTGTCATGCAAAAGCTAGGTTTAGCAAAAAAAAAAAACACACAATAGATAATACTATGCAGGGCAAATCATGAGACTAGCCACAATGTACAGAAAACAAAGGCTTCACCCAAGCCTTTACATCTGAGCAGTCTAAAAAGCTAATGAAATTATTCAAGAGAATAAAAGGTTAGTTTTACTATGAGTGGGTAACATCAACTTCTTCCTCTCTAGTCCTGTAAGACAGGAAACAACTAGCTTCTTTATTACTATGGAAAATACATTCTGATGGTTAAAACACTCAAACACCATAAAGTAGCATAAAACTTTCTCTCCTCTAATGTTCATCTCCTCCAGACACATTCCATGTTAACAATGCTAAAAAGGAAGAAGCTGAGGGTATAGTTTCATAGTAGATTATTTTCTTAGGATGTTTGAGCCCCTGGATTTGACCACAAAATAAAAAATAATAACAAGGCACCATGACGACACAGTACGGATGTTTGTGTGTACAAAAAGAGTATTTGCCATAAATACTGCAATTTGCTGTTTATGTTTATTACATAAATAAAAAAGAACTAGCTCATCCTCTCTGTAAAGGCTGGTGCATCAATGAACAGAGGTTGGGGGTGTGACACAAGTGGTAGAGCACCTGCCTAGCAAGCTCAAGGCCTTAAATTCAATCGCCAGTACTGCCAAAAAATAATTAATAATAGTGCTCCAAGGAAGAGATGAACACTTAATTTATCCCGTCTCAGGCATGTAACCAAAATCTGTTAAGTGCTTACTATTTACACGGCTATGAATATAGCAGTAAACAGAACTAAAAAATATCCTTGCCTCATAGAATTTACTTCCCAGGAGTAAAAGATAAATCATAAATTAGCAGCAAATGGGGAAGACTATAGAAGAAAGAGGTCTAAATATCCAAAGGAAAGTTATAATGAGTTCTCTTGCTCACAGGGCAAGAGTTCCAAGGCTTATTGGATTCTAGGATTTCTACTCATATGCATATACTATTAAAAAAAAAGGTATTATCAAGAGGCAAGTATAACTTATTAAATCCTGAATGGTCCTGGATGTTGTAGAAATTTTTAAACTAATTTTTTACTTGTCACAGTTTTAGCAAAGACTTTATTTCAGTCATTCCTCAGCATCTGCGGGGTATTAGTTCCCAAGGCCCCCCAGAATGCCCAGATGCTCGTGTTACTTGTATACATGGGTGTATCATTTACACATAACATACACATATGCTCAAGTATACTTTTAAGTCATCTCTAAATTACTTATAATACCTAGTATAGTATAAGTAGCTACACGGCATTGTTTAGGGAACGACAAGGAAAAAAAGTCTACACATATACAATACAGAGGTAACCCCTGAAGGCCTAACTACGTAGAACACAGTCTGTGGTTGGGTGATCCATGGATATGGAACCTGTGGATACAGAGACACTATGATACTTAGCTTGTTTACTATGTGTATATAGATTATTTACATACCAGCCATTGCTGTCCATAAACAAATACATGATTTTTGGCAATGTCAACTCTATCCCATGCCAGTGTAAGGATGAGCTGGTCAAATGCAGATGCATTAGTACCTAATTAAATAAAGAAAATAGTTGACAAGTTTATTTGCATTAATATACAAATATTTACGAAAGCTCCGCACCACCCTTTAACTTACACAGATGGTATCAGCCACTATTCAGAGGCAGCCTGCCTCAGAGAGGAAAGATTAACCCCAGGATAGAGGACTTTTATTTTTCAAGTGTAGAAACTATACAGCCTCATTCACTGCAAACAATTCAGAATGCACAAACTGAGAAAAAAACAAAGATGATCTGTTTCTATCACAGAGATAGTATTGACAGGACTCTGAAAAATACCTTTCATATGCTTGTCCATGCATATATAGACTCATTAATTTTGTTTATTTACAAATGGGATATTATACAAAGTTTTCAGTAGTTTGCATTATATCCCTTATTATCACCTTATATTCTTCAACAGTATATATAGATTTCATGTATTAGTATTTTTTAAAAGTTACCCACAATTTATTAAACAAACATTCCAACTAGTAGTTGTTTCTTTTGAACTTTTTGCTAAATATATTTTAGTGTATAAGTTTAATATTTAAATAGGATGACCTTGTAGGAGCCAAATTGTTGCATACAAGAATATACACTTAAAGGCTTTTGATATACTCCCCAAATTTATTTCAGAAAGTTTATTCTATTCACCAAGGGTGTAAGAATACCCACTTCTCCATGTGCTGGTGAGAAAGGAGGCCTTTTTCCTTTTTCACTTTTAAATTATACCTTAATACTTTTTTGGGGGGGCTGGGGGGGCAGGCAGGTATTGGTGGTTGAACTCAGGACCGTGCACTTGTTAGACAGGCACTCTACCGTTTTAGTCATTCCACTAACCCTTTCTGTGTTGGTCACTTTTCAGATAGGGTCTTGCTTTACGTCCAGGGCCAGCCTGGACCTCAATCCTCCTATCTGTGCTTCCTCACATAGCTGGGATGACAGGAATGTACCACCCATGTCCAGCTGCTAGTTGAGATGTGATCTCACAAACTTATAGCCCGGGTGGCCTGGAACTATTATCATCCCGATCTCTGCCTCCCAAGTAGACAGGATTACAGGAGTGAGCCACCAAGCCCCACTTCAAATATCTTTTACATAAATCCAGACACATATTTCTGTAAGATATTCATGTTTTTCTTATTAATTAATAATATTTCTGTTCTTTACTTTTCCCATGTGTAAAATGAGAATAAAGGAAATACTCCCCTTAGAGGCTGCTGCAGGGATAAAATGAGATGAGCAGTATGAACCACTTATCCACAGAAGCTAGCAGACTCAAAGTGTATAGCAAACAGTACACATGTACATGGTGCTCTTGTTTTATCTTAGTTTTTCTATTTCTTTTTTCTTTTTCAGTGGAACTGGGGTTTGAACTCAGGGCTCTGTGCTTGCAAAGCAGATGCTCTACCACTTGAGTCACAACTTGAGTCCCTAGTTTTATTTTTATGTCATCCCAGTTACTGGTCTCTGGTTTCTGAGTTTCCTATTACTCACCATCTCTTGATTACCAGATGATGTCATTTAACTATAGTGCATGTTAAATGACGTATTGCCAATTTATTGCAGTCTCTCATTTGGGAAATTCTTAGGCTAACATGACAGTATCCTCTTGCCCTGCTCCTGCCACATCACTGCTCACTTTGATTTCAGGTACCCAGAAGGAATACCATTTTTTTTTTCTAATTTTTAAAAAGATTTTTTACTGTAATATTGTATCAGTAGGATGGCTGTAGTGAGATATTGAGAGAAAAACAGTTCAATGTACATATGCATCAATCCCTTAACTCCTAGAAAAAACTAGTTTTCAAATTTTCCCCTTGGAAAAGTATAGTGTATTTAAGAATTGCATCATTTCTATGAATTAAATACCTAACTATTTTAAACCCTTACTTTTCAGCTAATTAAGAATGTGGGTTAACAGAATACATAGGGAACTTAAAAAACTAAATTCTTCCAAAATTAATGAACCAATAAAGAAATGGGCAAGTGAACAAAACAGAACTTTCTCAAAAGAAGAAATTCAAATGGCCAAAAAAAACATGAAAAAATGCTCACCATCTCTAGCCATAAAGGAAATGCAAATTAAAACCACACTAAGATTCCACCTCACCCCTGTTAGAATAGCCATCATTAGCAACACCACGAACAACAGGTGTTGGCGAGGATGCGGGGAAAAAGGAACCCTCATACACTGTTGGTGGGAATGTAAACTAGTACAACCACTCTGGAAAAACATTTGGAGGCTACTTAAAACACTAAACATTGATCTACCATTTGATCCAGCAATACCACTCTTGGGGATATACCCAAAAGACTGTGACACAGGTTACTCCAGAGGCACCTGCACACCCATGTTTATTGCAGCACTATTCACAATAACCAAGTTATGGAAACAGCCAAGATGTCCCACTACTGATGAATGGATTAAGAAAATGTGGTATTTATACACAATGGAATTTTATGCAGCCATGAAGAAGAACGAAACATTATCATTCGCTGGTAAATGGATGGAATTGGAGAACATCATTCTGAGTGAGGTTAGCCTGGCCCAAAAGACCAAAAATCGTATGTTCTCCCTCATATGCGGACACAACAAGGGTATTGGACTTTGAGCACATGATAAAAGCGAGAGCACACAAGGGAGGTGTGAGGATAAGTAAGACACCCCAAAAACTAGATAGCATTTGTTGCCCTAAACACAGAGAAACTAAAGCAGATACTTTAAAGCAAATGAGGCCAATAGGAGAAGGGGACCAGGAACTAAAGAAAAGGTGAGATAAAGAAGAATTAACTTAGAAGGTAACATACATGCACAGGAAATCAATGCGAGTCAACTCCCTGTATAGCTATCCTTATCTCAACTAGCAAAACCCCTTGGTCCTTCCTATTATTGCTTATACTCTCTCTTCAACAAAATTAGAGATAAGGGCAAAATAGTTTCTGCCGGGTATTGAGGGGGTGGGGGGAGAAATGACCCAAACATTGTATGCACATATGAATTAAAAAAAAAAAAAAGGCCTCTGAGGTTGGGGGCCAAAAAAAAAAGAATGTGGGTTAATTAAATGAGTATGGAGGGATAAACCTTACTATAAACTTAAAAAAATAAAGTCTACAAGATAAAAATAAAAGCTAACTTACTACAACTAAAACCAGCATGTGTCTTTCACAAAGAAAATTTATTAGGAAATTCACTTCCCAGGCATTTAGCCAAATGAAAAGTCCTACCTTATATAAATTGGCCATAAATTAAATATGCCATAAACAAAAGTTTTTAAAGTCTTACCTTTCAGCAGTGCAGTAAGTATTGCTACATCTATATCTTGATGTTCCTCTGACCCAATGTGGAAAACAGTGATCTATTGAAAGGTGAATGAACACAATTATGACTTAGTATTTTTAAAATTCAGGCATCATTAAGAAAAAAAGTAATGTCACACTACATGTGGGGAATATCTATCTCTATAGATATAAATATTTATACTTCTATATATGTACATCTATACAACTTTACCAGTTTATATATACATTTATGGGTTTTTTTTTTTTTTTTTTTGCAGCACTAGGGTTTTTGCACTCATGGTCTTGGGCTTGTTACACAAGGGCTCTAGCACTTGAGCCATGCCCCAGCCCTATATAAAAATAAATTTAGATATAGATATATATTCAGGGAAAGGAGGTCAGAAATCACTTCACCTGAACCCCCCAAAAAATAAAAAATTAAGACTTCATCATTTACCAATTACAATGACAAGTATAATCAAAATATTTGGTTTCATATCATACTCATTTTTTTACCCATCTAATATCTTTTATCACAATAAGTAACATAGGAGATAAGGTTATAGATTACTTATCAAGAATAAATCCCGCTATTCCTTCCACACAGTGAACACTTACTTATTCAAGTAATATAAAATGGCTGTTGGTCTGTTTTTTGTTTCGTTTTGTTTGTTTTTGGATTTTTTTTGAGACAGGATCTTCCTATGTAGCACAGGCTGGTTTGAAACTCATGGTCTTCCTGCCTTACCCTCTGGAGTGCTGAGATTACAGGAAAAGGCCAAAACACCCGGCGATATAGGTATTCTTGAATAAAGAATGTTTGGTTTGTTCAATCTTTTTATTGCATATGCCTTTAAATTACTTGAAATGTAACACCATTTCAGCAGTTTTTATCTAACATTTCTCATAAAGTAACTTATTAGGACCCCAATTTTTTCAACTATTTGACAGTGTACAAAAACTTGGAATGAAAGGAGACAGCAAATCAAATCATGTTGTCTATTTATCTAGAGGTACAAAAAATTTTCTCTCTGAAAACATAAGCCCATGTTTACCTGACTAAAACTAAACAATACAGAACTTTATTAGCCTTGAGGACTCAGTAAAATTGTTGAAAATATTTTCCCAATATTTTATTAGAGAAATCACTAACAACTCTTTACAGCTTTTCTTTGATACTGGACATAAACTTTTCCTAAAAAAAGAAGTACAAATACACTGTCTCAGTACAATATAAAAACTATAGTCCTTCTATGCTCAAAAACAATAAATGACATCTTAGCAAGGTTAAAAGAGATTTAAAAATTTTAAATCTAAATTAAAAACTAAAGTAGCTCACCAATTTATATGTGTTTTCAAGGAAATAAAAGGCTTAATTTGCTGAAATCTACTTACAAGTTCCTTTTTTTTCATGCACTCCATCAGTGTTTGAAATAAATGAACTGCTTCACTCTGGCCAAAGTTAAATGTTTTTTTGATGGTTGAAATAATATCAGGCTCTGCTGCATCAGGAAGATTCCTGGTATAAGAGGAAATACAACAATTCATTGATTTCATCTTCATTATCTGTAGAATCAAAATGAAGTTAAGATAGAGCCATGCAAGACCTTGGGGGATTCTGTATTCATATTAAGTACCTGACTTTGGGTGAAATTACTTTCTCCTTCATGAAACACCATTATAATAAAGTCTTAAAGGACAAAAAAAGGAATGGAGTGATTTTTCTCTTGAATTACTTTGTGAATGTCTTTAACAATGTGTTGAGATATTCTATAAGATACTACATAAAGATAATTTTTGATGTGACTATATAAAACTGTATTTCATAAAGATGTCTTAACTATGAACACATCCACATGGCTCAAAAATACAGTATAAGATTAAAATATATAAAAATACAAAAACTCATAGTGAAAATCTCCTATCCAGTATCTTTCATCTGCCTATTTCTAACTCAGCTCTTTTCAGGAATCACTATTAGCTTGTATAACTTTACAAGATTGTTTTTCTATTATAGATAAATAATTATCCTCTTTTTTTCTATGTAAAAAGTGCCACAATGAATGTGCTGAGACGTTTTAGTAATCTTCACAAATCTAGTATACAGGTACTATCTTTATTCAGCTGTGTAGAACCTTAATCACTGTGTAGATGGGCCATAATTTATTCAGTCCTTTTCTGACAGATGGTCTACGTTGGTCCAATCTTTTACTCTTACAAATAACCCTATGACAAGAAACTTTACATACAAATTTTTCACAGTTTTTCATCTGTAGGTACAATTCCCAGTAATGAAACTACTGGGCCAAAAGATACGTGCCTCTATAGCAACCGCTACCTTCCATGAAGATGACTGCTATATTTTAACTCCTCCCAACAACATATGAGTTAGGATATCACCTCAAGTCTTAAAATATTTTATATTAATCTTGAGATAGTCATATTCACAAAACACTCAAAGGAATCCAGTATTTTAAAAGCCAAAAGCCTCTTTACTAAGGTTTTTAAAGCCTTTGCACTGATACACTCACCCTCCTTCTTCTGTTTGTTTATGAATGTATGCTAGCAAATCTGCAGCTCTGCCTGTTCCTTCACATACAACCACTGGAACGGGGGGACTTTCCTGAAGGTATTCTAAAACAGTGAGGATAACGTTTGGCCCACCTTCAAATACCAGGGCCACCACAGGAACACCCTGGCCAATTCCTAAAAAAGGCAAAAGTTTAGAGAATCAGACAACATTCAGTAATTTCATCTTACTTATTTTAAATAAAAATTAAAAATTTCTTATAAGACTGTTGACGTCACTTAAAGTACTCAAGGTAACATCGCCTCATATGAAGTACTGAATAAACTACATTGTCACTTAGTCTGTTCTAAATGACAAAATTTTAAAAATCTAAAACATAAGTTAGTACATACTGTGAGAATTTACATAATCACTGGAAGGTAAACTTTTCTGTATTGAGTTCTTGACAATAAATGTATTTTTTTTGGAGACAGGGTCTTGCTATGTAGTCCAAGCAGGTCGGGAATATGTGATTCTCCAAAAAGCTGGAATTAAGGCTCTTTTAATCCCACCATACCTGACTGGTTTGCTTTTCAGTATGTATTAATTGGATTTCTAACATATTATCTGTTTTTATTCATTTTTAAAATGCATATTTCTGATTCTAATTGTGTTGAGGCATTAATGTAGAAATTAATGGCAGAGACGTAATCACACAAATGGAACTGATCAATAAAATTCTTAAAGATAGTTCTACAAGAATAAAAGAAAAAAGCCCAGTGAAGAATAGGAGTTTTTATTTTTACAACAACCAGAAGGATGGTGAGAAAATACAAAAATAACTATAGGGCTGTAAAACATTCCTCATTTCTGTAAATGCTCTGACTCTACCATAATCTGAATGTGCTGTTCTGTTATTTCGTATTTCTGTTTCAGTTTGTCATAGAGTTTACCATGTTGGTGTCCTAGGGTTACAAAATTTCAATTTGAAATAAAATGAACCAGAAAGTTCAGTCACAGTTGGAGAGGAAAATGAGTTCCAGGAACACCAACCTTTAAGACATATTATCCAAACAGCAATATCCACTCATTTTATAAAGTTTTAAGCAAAGGTGATTCTTCTTAACAAAGTGGTTTTATTCCCTTTTTCCATCTCAACCTTGAGTTTCAAAGCCATGAATTAGAATATATCACACATTTAGAATACTAGATGGAGCAAGGTGCCTGTGGCTCACACCTGCAATTCTATCTACTTGGGAGGCAGAGGTCAGGTGGATCACAGTTCAAAGACAGCCAAGGCAAATAGTGAAACCCTATCTCTAAAATATCCAACAAACAAATGGCTGACGGAGTGACTCAAGTGGTAGAGTACCTGCCTCACAACTCAGAAGCGTGAGGCTCTGAGTTCAAACCACAGTACCACCAAAAAAAGGGAAGAAGAATGCTAGATGGTGTGGGCCTACAATCCCAGTTACTCAGGAGGAAGAGGCAGGAGGAGGATGGTCTAAGGCCCCAGGCCAAAAAGCAGAAGACTATCAGAAATAAACTAAAGCAGAAAGGGTTGGGGTATGGCTCGTGGCAGAGCACCTGAAGCACAAAGCTGAGTTTAATCCCAGGGCAGTGCTGCTCCTGCCCGCTACCAAAAAAGCAACACCTCCCCCCACAAAAGAAAGAGAGAGAGAAAAGAAAACAACAACAACAAAAAAACCCCATTAAATCCTTGGGCTACAGTGGGTTTATAATTCCAACAGAGCTTCTAATGAGCTCTTCTGGCTTTGCTCTTGAAACCTGAGCATCCTATTTGGCCTGAGACGTCTTTTTCTAGTTTTTACTGTTTTGTCTAAAATCAGCCATTCTTGATAGTTTTTTAAGTTATTTTCCTATGTGAGGAAAAGCGTATTCTATTTTTTTACAATGTTGCTAGCTACTAATACAACCTTGAATAATTTCAACAATAACAAATTTGTGAATTCCCTTACTAGCATGAATTCTTTGCTGATTAATGGTTTTTTCAAGTTCTCTTCTCAGTCTTACTTCTGCTCCATACTTTCCAACAGTGCCATCATCCACCAATATGAAATGGGAATGGAGATTATTCAGAACGTTCAATTTGCTCAGGGGGTTCAATAAGGTTTGATAAGGAGCAACAACCTAAACAATAGCAAATTAAGAGTTAGTGAGCAGGACTAAATGCAATATAATGTAAAATAATCATAGACCAGTAAAAGGTAAAATTTTAATATACTCTTAGAAATAAATAGAAAATGACTAAGAATTTATCCAAAAGCAAAGCTTTTAAGCAGTTGAAGATGATTAATAATGGGTGAGCCACATAATTACATCTTATCCTTACTGTAGTACTGCATTTCATCATCACACAGAAAAGCAGTAGATAAGTAAATAAGTATACAGTGCTAATAATTATGAGGTTACTAAATGAATAAACTAATATATGAAAAAGATAGTTACAAAGCAATAAAATGTCACAGTGTTATTTTTCTAGTCATAGAATCTTTTAAAATTGGTATTATAAATTTAATAATGTTTGAAAATGATCTTTATAAAACTTAGTAATTCCTCTTTAATAGTTTCGACAAATACCTATAAACCAATTCATATCTTCAACCTACTCAAACACTATCATTTGACTGCTACTATAAGTGACAAAGGTTAGTTATTAATTTCATATAATCATTAAAAATTTAATTAGAAAGGACTGACATGATCTGGAAAACATGTCAGAATAATATTACACAAGAAAAGCAGAAACCACAATGTATGAAAGCCAAACAATCACTTATATTTCTGAATGTATTTTCAAAAGAGTAAGAAAACCACAGAAGATACTTTTTACATTCAATTTGAAAGCACAGTATAATTATAAATATTTTAAGTTGACTTGCACTGTTATTGACATAATTGACATATATGAGAAATTTGAAAACTCATTCTTACATCTCTCCCAACAAGATCATTTCTGTTTTCTATCACTCCCCATGGAGCTATTCCAATAGTGCAAATCTTCCGAGATGATCTGGAAGCATGTTCTTTGAGGGCATCACCAACATGTTTTGCCACACCTGTTCACACAAAATTTTATTTCACCTTACTTCAAAGTCTTTATTGTGTTCAAAACAATCCTGTGTTTACTCTCTAACATTACAATTCGTTATTTACACACACACACACACACACATCGCACGCACACACACGCACGCACTCACGCATGCACCCCGTACTGGGTGAACTCTGGGCCTCATGCTAGGCAAGCACGCTACCATTTGGGCCATAACCCAGCCCCATAACTTCTTATTATCACTTATTATGGGACTGAATTGTGTCTACCCAAACTCATATGCTGAAATTCTAACCCCTAATACCTAAAAAATGAGGCTGTTAAGGGTGCCCTGATCCAATTTGACCGGTGTCCTTGTAAGAGGAAATTTAGACACAGAGACTCCAGGGATACCTACACACACGGTAAGGCCACAACAAGACGGTGCCCACCTGCAAGCCAAGAAGAGGTCTCAGGAGAAACCAAACCTGCTGACATCTTAATCTTGGACGTTTAGCCTCCAGAACCATGAAAAAATTAAGTATCTGTTGTTTAAGCTATCCACTCTGTGGTGTTTTGTTATGGCATTCCTAGCAAACTAATGTATCACTTAATTTGCTTTTTATAATACATTTGACCTCATCATCCCTAACTTGGATTATGGAAATAGCATCTTCACTGGTGGTTCACCTGCTGTCTTATCTGCTTACAGTCCATTCTTGAAACATCACAGAAATAATCTTTGCTCCTGTGACCTCTCAGCCTAAAACCTTCCCTTCTCATTCAAGAGCAAAAGACAATGTGCTTACAAATGTCTATAAGACTTTTTATAATGGTCTCTACTATGCACCATGCTTCTCTACAACCAAATGCCAGTAACTTCAGACTATGGTATTGTACACCTGGCTTATTTCCCCTCAAGTTACACTGGAACCTTCCTATTCTTCTTTCAATACACTAGGTGCTTTCCTTTCTTTTACATGCTCTGCCTCAAGTTTTTCTTGTATCTTGCTCCCTCATTTCCTTCCCTCTCTCTTCAGGTAACAAACTCATCAGTAAAGCTCTCTGTGATGGTTAATCTTAATTGTTAGTATGATTAGACTAAAAAACCCCAGAAGATTACTAAAGTATATCTCTGGGGATGTTTAATAGTTTCCAGAGATAGATTATTCTGTGATGGATTCATACTATGATGACATTTGGAAAGTGAGGCATGGTAGGAGGTGGAGCCTAGATGGAGGAAGAAAACTACTGAGGGTATGTCTTTAGGTACTACATCTTGCCTTAGTCCCCTCCTATGTTCCCTTTTCTCTACTTCCTGGACGCCATTATGTGAGCAGGTCTTTTCTGCCACACCTTCCCTGCCATGACTGTCCTGAAACCATGAGCCAAAATAATAAATAAACAAATAAATAAACGAAATAATTCCTCTCCTTAAGTTGTTTCTGTAAGGTATATGGTCACAGTGACAAGAAAGCTAATACACTCTACTATGTACAAAAGAGTTGCCTCTCCATCATGCCTCCTCCCTATTCATGTGGCTGCATAGCACTATCCATCTAACACTACACACTACTGAGCTATCTGCTTATTGTCTATGTATCCCCCCAATACAATATAAGTTCATTAACTTAATTAAGTACCTTGTCTATTTTGTGAATTGACATAATTGGCAGCCCAAAGAATGTCTAACAATGAGGCTCAAAAAAAAAATCAGTTACTGATAACAAATGAATTAGATATTTAAATTGATTTAAGGAAATGATTATGTTCAGCTTTCAATTAAAATTAACTTTTAAGGCCTCCTAACAGTCAACCTTTATAAATGATAGAAAAGACTAGGAATGAAAGGGGATTGTATATTAAAATCAATTGATAAAGACCAGTCTTTACCACTCCTAAGGCAATGGACTGTCATTTTTCTATCAATTTACCAGCAATCATAAAATGGTAAGAATTACCATTTTGCTCAGTAGTAGGGTCAGCAAATGTTTTTATAAAGGATCAAGCAGTACACATGTGAGGCTTTGTAGAATATGTGCCAGACTCTGCCACAACAATTCACCTCTGCTGTTGCAGGACAAAAATAGCCATAGACAACACATAAACAAATAAGTATGAGTGTGTTCAAATAAAACTTTATTTACTTTAGTCACAAAAACAAGGATTATTATGAAATGGACCGTAATATGCCAAGTCTTGCCCTAAGTGTATTATTTTTTTTGTAACCTAAACAACCAAACAGATTCAGTTATTTTTATCTAGGAACTATAGATTATTTAAGACCCAAATACATTTATACTAAGTATTGGCTATTATTTCAAATATCTAATTGATAACAGGAAAATTGAAAAATACACTAAATAAAATTGATATAATCATCACATTACCTGTGTTTACTCCTCCAGTTAAAATCCAGGCTCCGGTTGTAACTGCAGCTTTAATAAGACCCTTTCCGAGCAACTGTTTGATTCGTGGGTGAAGCTCAAATTTCTGCATGCCTCCATGTACAGAGATAACAAGTTTGGGTAGTTCCATTTGCCATTCTTTAAGCAGAAGTTGCAGGATGATTTCAGGAAAAATATCACTTTGTGAGGCCTCTAGGAGTACTAGCATTCTAACTTACAAACATTAAGACATAAATGTCATTTTGTTTATACTCAATTACTAATTAATACAATTTACAAATTTATCCACAGAATTTATTGTATTTAACTATGAGTACACAGTGAAAGGGAAGCATTAAAGACTGGCTAAGAGGGCAGGGGAGAGAAATGATCCAAGCATTGTATGCACATATGAATAATAAAACAATAAAAATTAAAAAAAAAAAAAAAAAAAAAGGCTGGCCAAGATGATAGGGAAAGAGGGAAAAAAAGAGAAGAACCATGGGAAAAAAATAGAAGCATCTAAAATTTTTGCTACTGAGACAAATACTGAATTGTCTGTTTGAAAGTTTTGCCAATGTTCTAGACCACTTATAACAAAATTGTGATTACAAAGTAAAATTTTAAAGGTTTTTGAATTATGGATGGATTGTTTCCTTCACTGGAAGTAACTGGATTTGCTCAAGCTGAGAAATAATCAGGAAATCTTAACATCAAATGGGAAACTGGGGATATAGCTAAATGGTAAAGTATGTGCTTAGCCTATGCCAAGCCCTGGGTTCCATCCTCAGCACCACATTAAAAAGCAGAAACAAAACATCCAATATGTTCAAATAGATTCGCCAGTAAATTTTTGAAAATTCTTTCTATGAAAAATGTAATAGAGGGATTGTGCTGTAGCTCAGTGGTAGAACATTTGCTTAGTATGTGCAAGGCTATGGGTTCAATCCCCAGCACTGCAAAAAAAGAAAAAAAAAGTAATAAAAAAATAAGCTATCATATCTGTAGAAAAACTCCTCTGGTTTGAAAGATTTAAAAAAGTATCTTTCTTTTAAGTGATATCACAAAACATACTTGCTAGAATTATTTTAATTCCCCTTGTCTAAAGCACATATATGAATGATCTCATAAGAAATTTCAAATACACAGATGTTAGAAAATACAAGTTTTAATCATCTCTAAGAAAGGCTTTTTGTAAAACAATATATTGCCATTCCTTTACAGAGATGAAACAACAGAAAAGTCTCTAATAACAAAGAAATGAAAAAAAAATACAAGAATTCTATAAAACTGAGTAGAATACTCCAGAGTTCTTTAAGAATGCTAAGTTCTACGCTAAGTCTTTCTGCATTCATTTTATTTAACTCACCATTATACTTAGATACATAAAGTAATGTTTGGGAAGTTGTCTAAAAATTTTTTTTTTTAAAGGACTAGATTAGGAGCAATGAGAAATTCCACATCCGGCAGTGCAGTAAAACTTGTGGAATTGAGCCCAGGAAAATAAGAAAACATGGAGAGAGTAAGCCTGAAATTTGGCACTACTTTACTTATGAAGGCAGGCAGGACAATGCAAAGGTTATAACGCTCCAGTCTAAATGATTAATATTCATGTTGCAGTTTTAAAATACCAATAATTAAAATTCATGCCAACAAATGCACATATCATAGGAGAAATAAATGTAGTTGTAAATATTCTAAAATTTCTTGCATTACAGAGGAAGTGGTAAAAGTGATAGAACTGACTAGTTTATATAGTAACAATTTAAATATACATTTACAGAGCTGACAAAATGGCTCAAGTGGTAAAGTGTCTGCCTAGCAAGTACAAGGTCTGAGTTCAACACCCGTACAACACCTAAAAAAATGCACTTAGAATATTCATTCTAAGATTACTCCAAAGAATAGAAAAAGAATGTATAAATAATGTGAATAAAGAAGGAAGGCAATAAAGATTTTAATCCAAAAGAGTACAAGAAAAGGGCAAAGAAAAAAGTGAGACAGATAATTCATAGTATGATTATAAACTTAAATTCAAATATAAAACACATTAAATCTTTAGAAAAATAAAAACTATATGCTGCTAAAAAGACATCTTTCTTGTTTTGCTTTTTTGAGACAGGGTGGTTTCAAAAGTAGGGTCATGTTATCTTCCTGCCTCAGTCTCTCAAGTAGCTGGAACTATAAGGCACATGCCACCATGTGCAGAAAGATACCCTTTAATATAAGAAAAGTGTAGGGAAGAAGGTTCAGCTATTCTTTTAGGAAAAAGCAAACTTTTTCAAGAAAAATGATAAGAAAAGACATCTTATTTTTCCTTTTTTTTGGTGTGTGGTACTGGGGTTTTGAACTCAGGGCCTCACACTTACTAGGAAGGTGCTTTACTACTTTAAGTCACTCCACCAGCCCTCAAAAGACATTTTAAAGTGATAAATGAATCAATTCACCAAAAATATTCTGTATTTGTTTGAATCTTCGTTAAGAACTTGAATATACACATCAGAATGATTGATACTAAAGTTCCATTCTGGTGCTATTTAAACTCTCAATTAATGTTTATTACTTAGGTAACAAGACTAAAGTAAAAGAAAAAAAAATCAAGTATTCAACATACCTTAGCTCTGTAGGAATGAGAACCCCCTTGAAAATTAATGACTCCATAAGCATCTGTTGGGCTCTGTTCGGTATGCTTTTCCACAGACCATTCTTCTATTGCCTGATTAAAATGGTCACCCAATTTCACATCTGAGTATTTCATGGCAAGACTTGCAGTGAAACAAGCATGTTGCTTGACCAAGCGACCACAAAAACACCTAAAAGAGTTAGATTGTAAAGAAAGCTTTCAAAAAATTATAGTCAATGAAAAACGGAATTAAAATGAACCAATAAAGAATATGAAAATAGCTTAGCTTTTCAGTAAGTCAACACCTTTACTACATATAACACTGAAACAGTATAAATATATTAGTGTATGATTACACTACATTAGTATGGACAGCCTCAAAATATCACATAGCCACTTACTAGAAATAGTATTCAACTACAGAATGGAATGAACTATGAATAGACACAACAATATGGATGAATCTCAAAACCATCATGATGAGTGAAAGAAGCCAGATATCAAAGAGTGTATATTTAAATGATTCCACATACACAGAATTCAAGAAAATGCAAACTTATCTATATAATGACCAAAAAGTCAAACGTTGTCTATCTGAGACCAGATGCAGAAAGAGGAATGACATTCTAACTAAAAGCACATATTGGACCACAGTGCAAGAAGTACAGACCACTGACTTGATAAAAATCTTAAAATCAGATCAGAGTTTGAGGAAGTCAAAGCAGCTAAAGTTTGTGGTATATAAAACAAAAAGAAGAAGAAGAAGAAGGAACAAAGAGTCCCAAACATGTGTGGGAGCTTCTGCAAGAAACTACCCATGGCACCGTCTAAGACCTACTAGACAGTAGTAGACCAAACAATTCCTAAAAGTCCTAAAGGGTGGAGAATAATCCCAACTGCCAAAGTAGAGAAATCTTAAAATACACAGGCCTAACAAAGAGTTCTCAGAAGAGATTAGTCTAGTTAGAAGCATTAAATTGGACCTAGACAGCACAAGCCCTAAGACTTGAGAGGATCTAACTGAACCAAAGTAATTTTGCTGCCTGCTAAAGTAAGTACAAAACTCCCTAACAGTATCAACAAAATTCAGCATCCATCATGAAGCTAAGCATGGTACACATTTTTAGTATCAGCAATTGGGAGGCTGAGTCAGGAGATCATTAGTCCAACGCCAACCTGGGCTACAGAGAAAGGCCTTGTCTCAAAAAAAAAAAAAAAAAAAACAGTGAAAAAATTCCCAGGCCTGCAAAGTAGAAGGCAGAGAAAAACACAGATCACAATGAATTGGAAGGTATTTTAGAAATTAAAGACCCAAACAGAACATCTAAAAATAAGTATCTCTAACGAAAGTCATGAAAATCATGGGATGGGATTTGTAACATACTGAGATGAGGGAGAGAGGAGAGGGAAGGAGGGAGGGAGGAAGGGAGGATGATGAACCAGTAAACTTAAAGATATGGCATTAGAATCTATTCAAAATTAAAGAAAAGCAAGAACAAAGACTAGAGAGAAAAAAGGGACAGAATATTAGTGACCTTTGAAATAACATAAAGTAGACCCACACACATGCAACTCAAGTACCAAAATGGAGAAGATGGGAAGAAAAATTTGAAAACATGTTGGGAAAAATTTGTTCCAAATTTGTAAACTACTGGGTCTACAAGCATGAGCAATTCAACAAAAAATAAGCCAAGTGTAAACAAAATCACACTAGGTCACTGCTGAAAGCTAGTGGAAAGAGAAAAACCTTAAAAGAAGCCAGAGTACAAATGTCACATTACGTGCAGAAGAACAAAGGTAAGAATGATAGCAGACCTCTTATCAAAAACCACACAAGCTTAAAGTTAATGGAACATTCTTAAAGTACTTGAAGGAAATAGATCAAGTTAGAATCCTGTAAAACTTAAATCTATTAGACAACCAAAGTAATCTAACACACTTATAGAATGTTCCACCTAACAACAGAATAAAATCTCTATTTGAATGCAAATAAAATATTTGCTAAGAATGATATTATTCTGGCCCATAAGTCTTAACAAGTGAAAACAGGCAGAAAGAATACAAATTATATTCTCTTGCCACAATGAAATTAAACCAGAAAACAAGAGAAACAAACTTGAAAATTTTTCAAGTATTTGGAAAATTAAATTACATAACGCATGAATGAAAGACACAAATTAGAAAACATTAAGAACAAAATGAAAACAAAAACAACATCAAAATATGTAGGAAACAAAACAGTGTATAGAAAAGCTATAGTGCTTACGTAGATATATACATAAATGCACACATACATATATATGAATACTCATACAGTGTAAAAATAAAGTATATGCCAGACTGAGTATGGTGGTACATGCTTATAACCCCAATTTGGGAGTCCAAGGCAGAAGGATTACAAGTTTGAGGCCAGCTTGGGCCACAAGGTGTGATCCTGTCTTAAAAAAAATTAAATTTAAAAAAATATAATTTTTTAGTATATCAAGTTTAAACTAAAGAAGATCTGAAAGCACTAATACACGAAATTCTACCTTAAAAACCAAAAAAGAACTAAACCCAAAGTAAGCAAAAGGAAAGAAATGATAAAGATAATGAAATAGTAAAAGAGAGAAACAATGTGCCGATCACAGAAAAGACTAATAATAAAATTGATTTAAAAAAACAGAAAAAAAATTTTTTTTACTAAAACAGAAAAATTGAATAGGGAATTGAATTATTCTTCTTTTTTCCCCTTCTGTTTTTTAGATGGGTCTCATTATGTTGCCCAGACTGTCACTGAATTCCTGAATTCAGGGATCCTCTTGCCTTAGCCTCCTGGGTAGTACACACCACACTACCACAACCAGCTTTGAGTTCAACAATAATAAAACTTCCCACAAAGAAAACTCAAGAGCAGAAGGCTTCCCTGATGAATGTTACCAAACAAAAGGAAATTACATTAATTCTATGCACTCTTCAAGAAAACATAACAGGGAATGTTTTCCAATTTATTTCATGAAGAATCATCCTGATTTAAAAAAAAGCTGGAGGTGTGGTTCAAGTGGTAGAGCACCTGCCTAGCAAGCACAAATCCGAGTTCAAACTCCAGTCCCACAACCAACAAAAAAAGACAACACATTACAAGAAAAAAAAGTTAAGAACAGACTCCCTCAATAAGATAAATCATAAAAATCTTTAATAAGGTATTAGCAAATTGAGCCCATCAGTATATAAAAAGGATAATAAACAAGTTCAAGTGGAGTTCACTTCGGGAATGCAAGGTGGGTGTAATATTCAAAAATCAATTTATCTTAACAGAATCAGGAGAAAAACCTCAAAATCATGTCAGCAGATGCAGAAAAAATATTAGCCAAAACTCAGAATTATTCATTATCAACACGTTCAGAAATCTAGGAAAGGAGAAAACTTGCTCAATACAGATAGTGTATTACTTATTAAATTTTATCAATGAAGGGCTTGGAGTGGAGCTCAGTGACAAAGTGCTTGCCTCACACACATGAGGTCTTGGGTTTGTCCCCAACACCACAAAAATAAACGAATGAATGTATGGATAGATAGATAAAATCTTATCAATGAACACCACTAGCTGCTTTGACCTGTGAATTATTCTAGTTAATCACCAAACCTATGGGTGGTCTTGGGGACTCCTGATATAAAAGTGAACAAAATATGAGGTAAGTACTTTCAGGCACTGAACAAAAAGAAGGCTACTATCCTTGAAATGAGGAGAACATATAGTCAATCCCAGGCTGTACCAGCCTGGGGGCAATTTTTCAACCACTGTGCGTTAGATAGGCAGAAAAAGACAATGTCACTGAGCTGGGAGGAAGCAGAGAACAGTAATAGTTGGAATATATAGCAGGGATTCAAGAGGAGCAGGTTTGGAAGAATATGAGAGGACACAATGTCACATTCACTATGGGTTCTCTGCCATAGTCTAAGGTGTATCTGTGGTAGGCAGGATCCTGTGAATCTCAGAACAGTCATCAAAGTCTGGGACAGCACAGTTTTAGCTCAGAGTACCAAGACATCACTGAGCACCTTGAACACTCAGTTAAAACCTCCAAAAAAGACTATATCTTAAGAGTAAGGTCTGTATCCTAGGACTATGTTCAAAACAGAAATAAAACTGCACTAACAAAGCAGAAAAGCAAACTCAAATGGATAATAATTTAATCGCCTGTCATCCAGAACCCTCAGAGTAAATCATCCACAATGTTCAACTTACAATAAAAAATTACTAGACATATGAAAAAGCAAGAAAATGATTCATTATCAACAATGACAAAAGGAAACAACAGAAACAGACCCTAAATGATGCAGATGATGGAATCAGTAAACAAAGACATCAATGCGGGCACTATAAACACGCTTGAGGATTTACAGGAACAGATCATCACACGAGGGTACAGGTTTGTTATCTCAGCAGTGAAATGGAAACTGCAACAAAAAAATCGAACAGAAAAGTCTAGAACTGACAAATGTAATGCGTGAAATGAAAAGTTCACTGGATGGGCAAAACAGCATATGGGCAATTAGACAAATAAGGACTGGTGAACTTAGCAATGGAAATGACTTATTTTAATAAACAGAACAAAGTTAAGTAACAACAAAAAAACAGAATCACAGCAACCAGTAGAAAATATCAAACAATCTAACAGATGTAGCTAGAATCCCAGAGGGAAGAAAAAGAAAATGGGACAGAAAAATATTTTAACAACAATGCTAAAACATTTCTAATTAGGTGAAAAATTTGAATTTGCATATACTTACGTACACAGAATAAGTACAAAGAGGCATGTTATAGACATACTGTTGAAAATCAAAGGTACAAAGACAAAAACCTTTAAAGTAGCCAGAAGAAAAAAAAAAAAAAGACCCATTTCACACCAGGAAACTACTACAGTAATGACAATTGCCTTCTCACTAGAGACCAGTCAGAAGATAAATGATGACACCCTTTAAGTGCTGAAACAGAAAAACCTCAACTCAGAATTCTACATTCAATGAAAACACCCTTTAAATATGAAAGTACAACATTTTCAGATAAGCCAAACTGTGAAAATTCACTTTCAGTATACCTACACTTAACAAAATACTAGAGGGGCTCTCAGACCTGGAAGGAGACACCATGGAACTTCACATGTACAAGAACATGAATAGGACTGGAGACAGCACATGAAGGGCCAAATGTAAGACTGTTTCTCTTTGCTTAGTTGCTGGAAAAATAACTCAACATACTTAAATTCATTTTATGTACTCTCATTTCCAGCCTACCAATCAGAAACCTTCTTTTCTTCCTCTTATATTCACCAGACCCTAATGAATGACATTTACATTTACTACTCAGCTACCTATGCAGAAAATCTAAGTACCATGTACAAACACATCCATGAATTCTACTGCATTTATCTCACTGATCCCTTCAACTATGTCTACTTCTCTTTATCATCATAGCCACTGTATTAATTCAGTTTCTTATTTTTAACCATAATTACTAAACTTTGAAAAGTGGTCTCCTTTCCTCCTAACCCAATCTCCTCAAAATGCCAATTGCTCCTACAAAAAACAAAACAAAACAAAAACAAGAAGGGAGGGAGGGAGGAAGGAAAGAAGGAAAGAAGAGAGAGGGTGGGAGGGAGGATCTAGCCTATTACTCAACTATATGACATTCTTCTAACATGAAATTAAGTGTCACAAAGTATACAAAAAGCCTAAATGACCGGGTCCCTACTTATTTCTCCAGGCTCAGATCTCTGTAACCCACATCCTGATAGAACCATAATGTCTCAAACTGTGAGGTCTCCCACAATCTGTTGTGCAAAAACCCTTTTCCTTTATTCTTTGCCCAACTAACTCATACTCAACTTTAAACTCTGCTCAGGTAGCTCCACTTGAGTTTCAAAAGACAGTGCCTGATCTTTCACCTCCCAAGTCTGGGTGAAACAACCTTACATATAACAGCATGTGAGTTTTATCCTACCATATTTGACTTCGTGTTTCTAATATGTTAGTTTTATTTTTCAAATTTTGTGTAATGCAGTCATGTTAAACTTACCTGACAAGTTGCTGACAAATTTGACATCCTGGAAGACATCTATAAAGCACAAAAGGGTAAACAAACTATTAGTGCAAGGAGAAAAAAAATTATTTTAAACTAAACTGTATTAAATCCACACAAAAGTATGAAAACAAAGGAAAATAACATTTTAATTTTTAGTAGATACAACTGATCATGTACACCTTGATTTTTACATTCAAATAACCTTTATAAACTCACATAGCTTTTACTTTTTTTTTTTCAAAGTTTTTTTTTGGTGGTACGGGACTTGAACTCAGGGCCTCACGCTTGCTAGGCAGGTGCTCTATCATTTGAGCCACTCCACCAGCCCACTTTCCACATTTTAAATTCAATTAGCTTTGACATAAAATCTAGAAACTGTAAGAAAAAAAAACTGGCAGATTTAATTTACATAAAAACACACCATTTATGTGTGTTTATTGATCTGCCATCAATAAATCTAAAGAACCTGAGGGAAAAAAATTAGCAAAGGGCTAGTTTCCCTATTTAAAAAGTTTCCTCAAATTAATTTTCAAAATCCAAGATAAAAAAAAGAAAAAATATGAATACATAGTTCTCAGCAAAAACATACATATGAAAAGATTTGATGAGGAACGATTTTTTTAAAAAACACCTCAGGACATTATGTTGGGGAAAATGCAGAGAAAGAAAGCCTCAGAACTAAAGATGTGACTCGGGGTAGAGCACTTAGTATGCACAAGGCCCTGGGTTGCATCCCCAGCAACACACACACACACACACTCTCTCTCTCTCTCTCTCTCTCTCTCTCTCATTATCTGTTGGTGGGAGTGTATACTGATATGTCTATAGAGAGCAATTTGACAATACTCATCAAAATAAAGCTGGGTGTGATGTCACACACGTATAATCCCAGCATTCAGTAGGTGAAGGCGAGAGGATTGATAGTTTGAGGACAGTCTTGGCTATATAAGACTTTCTCAAAAACAAAACATTATTCATAGACTCCTCACACTCTAATTCCAGTTCTAAAAGTATTGGCTAGGACTGAAGAGCTCATAATAGAGCACTTGCCTTAGCATGCAGGAAGTTTTGGGTTAAATCTCCAGCACTTTAAAAATTTTGTTTGATAAAGTATGGGCTATGAGTGCCTGCATAGCAAGCACAAGGCCCTGAATCAAACCCCAGTACTGCTAAAGGAAAGAAAAAAAAGTATGAGCTAAAAAAAATATCTGAAGTACTGAAGTATATTTATAAAATGAAAAATGTATAAGGTAACACATTGCAGCATCTTTTTTCTAACAACAAAGAGAAAAATCAGAAAATAGCTAAAAAGTTCATCAATAAGGAACTTCTAAAACAAATGATTCAGACATGTAATTAATTCACAACAAGCAACGATTAAGAATAAAGAATTTATCTCTAAGATAATAAACACAACAGCTTATACCGAATGTATTTTAAAGGGGTGCAGGGGACACAAACATCTGCTTTGTTGTACAGACCGTAACTATTTCTGGAAGGTATTTCAAGAAATAAGTAACCCCAGAATATTTTGTAAGACTTATAGCTAAAGCACAGTAATGGGAAGGAGCCTTTCACTTATGACACTTGGTACCTTGCAAATTTGGACCCTAGCTCATAAATTACCTTATTCATATAAAATGAATTTTAAAATCCAACTACTGCAGAAAGAAGTGACCACGTATGTTTGTAAACTATGTCTCATATGGATGGTTCCAGCTGAAGATACTTAATTAACAGCTTGAGAATTCCTCAACACCTGGTGAGTGCTTTTATTATTTCTACTGAAAACTGATATTAACAAAATTATATAAAATAAACTCCTTCCTGATAATGCAATCTTTTTTTTTTTCCCAAAAAGAAAAAAAAAAAAAACCCACAAGTTTCTCTGGAATAAAAATAGTGTCACATTTTAGCACACTGAACTAAGGAGACCTAAACTCTAATTTCATTTTTATGAATTATTAGCCATGTGACTTGGTGATGTAATAACAAAACCTAGTTTTAGTAAGTACTAAGAAATTAAAATAAGACATTAAGTTTATCTAATGATCTAAAAAGAGTTACGAAAGATTTGCAAAATTTACTTTAAAAATGGGAGAATATTTAAAACAAAGTATTTTCTCAATAGTAATAAAATAAATGCAAATTTAAAACATTTACTATTACTGTCAATTAAAAATAAAAAGGAGAGAAGAGAGTAGTGCATGCCTGTAGTCCTAGCACTTGCAAGGCTGAAACAGGAAAATCATTTGAGTCCAGGAGTTTGAGACCAGCCTGGGCAACATAATGAGATAAACAACCAAATAAATAATTAAACAAACAAGCTAACTAAATCTACTTATCACTTTCTCTGGAATATAATGGAATATGCTATTCTACTCAATATTCAGTAAAGAATGCATTTGTATACACTACTAGCGATAGTATACAATGCTTTAATCCTTTGGAAAGCATTTGGCATTACATAAATATGGGAGGAGACCTTAAATATAAAAACAAAAAGTTTAATCTGCAAACATCTTCCTTATGGTCGAATTTTAATTTATATAAGGCTAAAAACTAAAAACAACTCAAAAGTCTACTGGGAGAGTAGATATATGGTATATATGCTAACAGAATATTCACCACCACTGTATAAAATTTTAATATGAAAAATGTATTCACTGTAGCATTTTGTTTAAAAGCAGATAGTTTGTATATAGACAGAATGTAGCAATACTTTAAAACAAAAGCTATGCACTGAGGAAAGATTCAAAATAAATCCACCAAAATATTATTAACAATGGCATGCATGTATGGAAACTGTGTGTACTTAGTCAAAACTCTACTTCCCAAAAGTTTTCAAAATTAACTTTACAATGAAAATACATTTTAAGTAAGAAATACATTCAAAATTAGGATTTGTTGGCTGACAAAATAAGGAGAATCAAAATAGCAGGCTTATGTAATGAAAACAAGAAAAAGCTTTGCTTTGGAAATTCTACTCAATAAACATTTACCTAGTAGTCACTGCAGACAAGAACACTGATGCCGTAATTTAACAGGAATAATAATTAATTTTTTTAATTGGTATTTTTGTAAGAGTCATATACCTAATGGAAGTAAAAGTTGCAGAGAAGGTAATTTGATGGAGAACAAGGTTTGGCAGGAGATGGAAAGATAAAGAGGATCCATAAATTTTGTAAATGCTTTTTTTTTTGTTTTTTTTCCAAAGTGCCTGTGAAGAGGTATGCTCTACCTATATCTTTGATTTGCTTTTTAAACCATTTTTTCTACTCTTAGGCTTTGGAAAAGAAAAAAACCAGTTAATGTCTAAGTAAATATTTCACAAAGTCAACTTCTTCTTGAATTGCAGTTAATGTCCTTTTACTTTTAATTTTTTTCTATTATGAAAGCCATTTTAAAGATCAAAAAGGCAGAGACATCCACATTCTCTGATGACAGTCTTTAAGAAAATATTCCTCTATGTCCATATATTGGCAAACAAAAGGAGTGACAATGACGGGGATGGAGAGGCAGAGATACACACACAAAGACTTAACTACCATATCTTTAAAACTCATTAACATGACTTCAGTTTGGAGATGAGGAAACACTTTGAGGAAGAGGTTTTATGCTATAAATATTACTGAACTCCATACAGAATATCCATACTTGAATGCTGATATCTTGCTAATCATACTGTGTCCTCTCAGTCCCAGAATAATTTATAGTAACTAAAAAGATTAACAAAATAAAAATGATTTATTTGATTTTTGTTTTCAATAAGTAAATAATTTACATGTAAACTTCTAGAAGATCCCAAAAGAAATAAAGGGATGCTTACCTGTGAGGGTCTTTGGAACTTGGTATAATATATACACATTCCCTCTTGGTCAAAGTGCTTTCTATCCAGGATTTCTGGGACTGAAACAAAAAGTTTTAAAAGACAGTTTACAAGTTAACCCATAATATAAGGAAATAAATTCATGATGAACACACAAAAAATTTCAGCACTATTTAATTTTGTTTTAATCCACTATCATCATTTAACCTATCATCTTAATGATAATAGCATGCCTAACATTTAGTTTAATTCCACCTAAATCCAATGTGATTTAACATTGTTATGCTAGAAAGAAGGAAAACCAAGTGAAATTCTCACTGTGAGCCAAAATAAAGTAATCCTGAGACATGAACCATTTAAAAGACAATTAAAGTGACTGTTAGGTTTAATTTTAAAAAGCAAAGACAGAATGTTTAATGGTACAAGTATAGAAAAAAGACATTAAGCAAAATTCTAACCAAAAGAAAGAGCCAGACGCCAGTAGCTCACACCTGTAATCCTAGCCTTTTGGGAAAGTGAGATTAGGATTGTGGTTCAAGCAAAGCCAGCCCAGGCACAGTTTTCCAAACTAGCCAGAGCAAAATGGACTGAAGGTGTGGCTCAAGCAGTAGAAGCCCTGAGTTCAAACCTCACTAACACACACAAACACATAAATGTTACATATCAGTAGATATACAGTGGGCTAATACATAATTACAAATATTCAATCTACTGAAATTCTGTAACAATCTTAAATAAGATTAACCAAATAAAACAGCCTCAAAACACATAAAACAAAGTTTAATAGGGAGAATTAGACAAATCTAAGATCATGGTAGTTTAACACAATTCTTTCAATTGCTGAAAAATCAAACAAACAAAATAATCAGGAAAGGTACTTAGGTTTTAACAGCATAATTAACAAATTGTGGGCTGGGGGTATGGCATAAGTAAGTAGACCATCTGCCTAGCAAGCATGAAATTCTGAGTTCAAACCCCAGGCCCACCAAAAAGAGAAAAAAGAAAAAAAAAAAAAACCCGTAAGTTTGACCTAATGAATGTATAACTATTTCTGCATATAACATAAATTCATTTTTCTCAAGCACACATGAGCACTTATAAAAACTTACAATGTACTTGACCATATAACAAGATTCAACAATGTTAAGACAATGAATAGCTTTCAGATCATATTCACTGATCACAATGCAATAATGTAAAAAAAATTAGCCCTCAATATTTGAAACTAGTTAACTAGAAAAATCAAAGAAAAAAATAAATAAAAATTTAAAATTCTGAGCAGTGAATAGTAAAAATTCTATGCATTTCAAAACTAATGCAATGTAGTGTACATGGTACATGAGGGAAAAGTATTTATATAGTATATTACATATACTATATAAAAGTATAGCTTTACGGGATTACATTTATTAAAAAAAGACTGAAAATTAATGAGCTAAGAGTCCTATTGTAAAAACATATTGAAGTTGGGCATGGTGATACACCCCTGTAATTCCAGCATTTGGGAGACAAGAAGATCCTGAGTTCTAAGCCAGCTTTAATTACATTTGAGACATATCTCAAAAAAAAAAGGGAGGAGGGGCTGGCAGAGTGGTTCAACTGGTAAGACTACCTGTCTACCAAACATGAGGCCCTGAGTTCAAGCCCTTGTACCACCCCCAAAAAAACATATTTATATATGTACATATATGCATATACACACACATGCATGTATATGGCATACAAAAAGTTGTATCTATCTATACATGAAAAACTCAAAGAAAGGAAGAAATAAAAGCAAAAAATCAGTGAAATAAAAAACAAAACAATATAACTTAAATATACAATAGAAAATAACAGCCTACCATCACAGTTGTGCCAAATACTTTAAAACATGTAAAACAGACATAGTTTTCGAAAGTATAAATATTCAGGGAAAAAATGAGCACACACACAGAGAGAAGGCGAAAGACGGACAGAGATACACTGGCAACATTAGGTTGTTAAAGAGTTTGCAAGAACTTTTCATACTATCCTTGAAACCTTTCTGCAAATCTGAAATTACTTCAAATTAGATGTTTTTAAGTTAAGTTTTATACCTTTACTTGAATCCCCAGACCCTGTATACTGCTACTGATGAATCACAGGATATGAGGTATTATTACGTACTGAGTTTAGGAGAAAGTCTGTAATACTGAGTAGATTAAAGGTTTTAGGGCCCATCCTCTTTTCTAATGTATGCCATGAGCACCACACAAAGCGCTTACATTACCAAAGGAAACCTACAGAAGATGAGACATTCTGAACGAAACTGAGATAGCAAAAATGCAGATCCTTTCCTGAATTCTTCAGGCACCCTAATGATAAATCTTGGTTTCTCCCTGGTCTTCTACTTCTGTTTTCAAAATCTGGTCTTTCCTTACCTTCATTCAAAATTTCCATTTCCTTGGTAAAAGATTCTTCTTTAAATAGGTTCACTTAAGTACCATCATGCGCCAGTCATAAAAATCACAGGATGCCCTCTGCAACGTAGGGACCTTCATCAGTAAAATTTCCTATATGCTGTAGCTCATTTTGCATAGTCCTTCCAGAACCTTCTTACTCTAACTAAAATATGGTTAGCTCCTGAAGAACCTACATCTATCTCTTTAGGGTAGAGGAGGGAGGGACAGACTCTCCCCAGCCTCACTGTAATAGAAGTCATTTTACATTTAGTGTACACTCAGCAAACCCAATTCTGACTGTTATATGGTACTAATAAAAAAACCACAGTATCCTCTGGTTTCACTTTAGACGCCTGACCAAGACATCAAATGGATAGAATTTAATAGGTAACTGCTAAATGGTGCATTTTGCCGGATGCCTTATTTAAAAAAAGACACTACAGAAGCCAGGCATGGTATATTCCTGCAGTCCCAGCTAGTTAGGAGACTGAGGCAGGAGGATCACTTGAGCCCAGGAGTTCAAGGCCAGTCTGGGCAATATTGCAAAATCCTGTCTCAAAAATAAATCAATAGGACTGAAGGTATAGCTCAAGTGAGAGCACCTGCTTTGCAAGCACATGAATAAAGCCTTTAGCTCAAACCCCACAGTTCAACCAAAAAAAGAAAAAAAGAAAAATCAATTTTTAAAAAGAGCTGGAGCTTGGCTGGAGGAGTGGCTCAAGCGGTAGAGCGCCTATCTAGCAAGCACGAGGCCCTGAGTTCAAGCCCCAGTACAGCCAAAAGAAAAAAAAAAGAGCTCAAACAGTGACTCGAGTAGTGGAGCGCCTACCTAGCAAGCTCAAAGCAGAAATAAATAAATATATAAAAACAAAAATTTTAAAAACCACTCAGATTTTTAATATAGTCATGGTTTCTCATAATTCCTTCATTATACCTCTAGTGTAATTTTTTTCCCAAAACACACATGCAACTAAGGGCCCGAAAGAACACTTTTCACTTTAAACTGATGCTTCTTTCCATTTTAAAGCATGGTTGTCCTTGAAATAGGGAATCAGCAGTTTTTCTATAAACTTTTTCTACACATACAGTAAGTACTTTACATCATTCAGACCACATACTGACTCTGTCAAATACTTCATTTTGTTTTTGAATGGCAAAAACTTAAAGAACCATTCTAAGGTTGAGACCATACAAAACAAGCCCTTGGCCAGGTGTGGCAGTTTGCCAATCTACACTCACTCATTCCCACTGAGCAGTTTCAATCTGTAAGTTTGTGTCAAGGCCTTCTGACTCCAGATTCTCCTGTGTCGTCTCATGGGCACTGATGTCCCTTCTATTCATTTCTAAATCTACAGCAGAGGGAAAAGGGTGGGGCTAAAAAGTTTAGTGGTACAATGACTAATTGTTTTTTTGCTGTAGGAATTTTAATAAAAGCATTTTAATAAGCATATATGAATGTAATTCTCAAACCTAAATATAAGTCAGCAAAATCTAGTGTTTGCATATATGTAGCTTTTATCTATAAGTAATGGTCTTTTCTAATTATCTCAACTCCTAAGCAGCTTTTTACTCATTCTTAGTATTCATTTTTTAATGAAATATAACTTACCCAAATAGGCATGTTTTCTGAGATTTATTGCAACCTTGCTATAAATTGTTTCATTTTATCAATCTTTTAATTCTATCTCTTTACCACATCAAACCTTCAAATAGCTTTTTAAAGTATTTCATTCATTTTTAAAGTCAAAAATAAAATCACACAAGTAGTGTATAAAACATAGTTTTGAAATATGTATATTGTGGGTTTACTCATTTTCTCACAAATTACAGGACTTCTTTCTTTTTATGGCTGAGTAGTATTCCATCATGTGGACAAGTGAACACACATGCGGGTGGCATGCTTATGTCACATTTTCTTTACCCATCTACCCATTCACTTGGGTTGATTCCATGTCTTGGCCGTCCCTTCCCTTGCAATTGAAATGCATCCTGACAGGTGAAGTGAGTCTTCTGTAGACAGCATACCCTGCATCTTGTTTGTTTTAATCCATTTAACTATTCTATGTCTTTTGATTAGAGAATTTAATCAAACAGTAACATTCCAAGTAATCCACTGATATAAAAGGACTTACTACTGTCATTTTGTTCATCACTGTCCGGTTGTTTAGTAAATACTTTTGTTCTTTCTCTCTTACTGTCTTTGTGATTGATTTTCTTCAGTATAGCTTTGATTCTTTATTTTATCCTTATGTATCCATTAAGGGTTTTTGTTTGTATAAAAACATCTTATAGTTGTAACAGTTAAACTGGTAACAACCTAACTCTGATTGAATTGAAAACTCAAGGCTCACTCCTGCTATCCTAGCTACCGGAGGATGAGATCAGGAGGATCACAGTTTGAGGCCAGCCTGAGCAAATAGTATGTGAGTCCCCATTTCCAAAATAACCACAGCAAAATGGACTGGAGGTGTGGCTAGAGCAGAAGGCTTGCTTTGCACGTGTAAAGCCCGGAGTTCAAACTTCTATCGCACCAAAAACCAAACAAACAAAAAACTTTTTTTACTCCATCCTCCCCATTTAAAATTTTCAATGTCACAATGTACATATTTCTGTATTGTGTAGCTCTTATTATTGCTATTATTATTTTTTGTCTTTTA